TGAAAGCAATAATATTACGTTTAAAGTAACATATATTATGTTGAACTTAATATTATTGCTTTCAAGAAACGTAATACATTTAATTAAAGTCAACTTTTCAGTCAACGTTTCAGTTTAATATAAAGCTATGTATTGATATAAACCCTTTTACCACAAGGGGGCAGTATTTTACATTAAACCTGCAAACACACATTAGTTCTCTCTTCACCAAATACATCTCATTTGTAAAATAAGTAGTCAGAACTTTGGTCCTCTCATTGAATACTGTATGAAACGTTTATGAACACAGAAAGAAAGAGTCTTTCCAGGGCTTCAAAACTATTTGAAACTAATTTTATTAGAGTGTCTTCCATGTTTTGTGGTCAACTTGCAAAGGACATTTACAAAGTTGGGAAAGTGTTGTCTGGTGAAATACACAAAAGTTCTTATTCAATGAGTTGTGGTGAAATACAGTGTTGAGCAATAGTGGACATTCAGGAAGACTGTGAGCACATCAAACACAGATAAAATAGTCCAAAGTGCGCTTGTTTGAATTGCAAAATAACCACTGCAATATTTTGAGATTCAGCTAATAAAGAATAACAAACTCATTTAAATACAATTTGGTCAGTGTTGGTGCTAGTGTTTCTCATGAGACTTTACTGTGTAAGTTATTTAATCATATCATTTAACCTTTTGATTTAAACAACTGTTGTTTTTCTTCTAAAACATCCCCACTTTTGAAATGTATCCGGAAAATCAATAAATGTAGGCTTCCTCCCAACAGATTAGGTAAAGCAAACACAGGATGTACTGTATAAATAGGACTGACAGAGACTTTCAGTAAAGTAAAGCTGGTCAACATTTCTTCAACAAAGCCAGAGCCGAGAACATAATGGCTATAGATATCAAAACAATGTTCTTCCTTGGACTTGCTGTTGTACTAACAGGTACAGTATGAGATGGTGGTTTTGTTTATAATCTGGCAGAGGAGAGACATTTCTTGCATCGTGGTAACTGTCGCTTCTGTTCTGGTTCTCCTCGGTCAGGTGTGGGAAAGTCTGCCTTCATCGGGAAGAGTCACAGCGGAGGGAAGGATGATCCTGTGCTGCAGTATATTGTCAACAACTCACTGAGAGAGCACCCAGTCCTCACCAAACTCAGACTGGTAAGAGAAACAACAAACCCTCATAATCTGGTGTCACCTGTTGAGATGAAGAAAGCATAGTCATTCACTTATTGTCTAAGCAAGATACCCCTGAATTGTCTAGTGTTTCACTCTGACGCTGCCATGCCCCTGACCGGGTCAACCTAAAGATCTTCGGTCACATCCAAGTTTTTATCTCTACATTTGATTCCCATGAGGTTCAGTTCAGAATTATTTTTATCACTTAGTTTAGCATGAGCAGGAGCCTGCCAACATGTATCAACATGCTGAAGCCATCAGCAGGTTATTTAGGTCAGACGATGGTTGGTTGGTCGTCTAGAAGAGCTCTGGGCTAAAAACTAAAAATGATTTAACTTTGAAGTTTTTACTTGTAAACTTTAATCAAACTTTGAAACTAGATACCTTTAAAAAGAAAATGAAGACACACCTGCTTAGAATGGCATATGTTCAGTGTGCATTAAGTGTCACATTTATTTTCTTTACTTTCTATATAAATACAATACATTTAAAGATAATTACCAGAGTACTGTATATCATTTCTGTCTCCAAGTAATACACTTATAAGATCACCAGAGGGCAGCACAGTGTCATAAAACCCCCAAACAGCAGTAGTACCAGGAGATGTGTATCCATTTAGTCAGATAATATAATGATAAACTGTTTATTACATAGTTTGATATTTTCATTTCAGAGAACCCTTGAGGACCGATGGAGCATCATGATGGTTGCCAGTGAACAAGCTCAGTTTATGGCAAATCTTATAAGACTGATAAATGCAACTAAAGCCATTGAAATTGGTGAGATAATCAAATCTAGACTATGGCAGCAATAAGGGTCATATTTATTGGAACTGAACATCTGATTGTGAAATCAAACTCATCATAAATTCTTACTGTTGAAAAATAAATACTTATGACTCTGTACTATAAAGTCAACAGTATTTATCAGTACATTATTGCTTCAGAGTTTATGGCAAAATATCTTATTCTGAAAGCTATCTTTGTGATTGTATGACAAAACATGAGCTGAAAGCACAGAGATTTGGTCACTTCTATTTTGGCTCAATTGATGATTAAGTAAGTAAGATTTTGCTATTGAAATTAAGATGAAAAACTTTAATTGGATTTACAGGTCCTAAAATGACCAGTTGAATTCAAACAACTTTAATAAGTGTCTAAAAGAAAAAGTGTTGTGAGCACAAAATGTAAATGGCACATCCTGAATTTGCCTACTCTGGATTCTCAAGAGGGGAATTTAAATTGCATCCATTTATATAGATATTGATTTACTGCTGTGAATGTAACTGTATTCAATTTTCGACAGTAAGTTCGGATTGCATGCTTTATATGGGAATGCAGTTGCTTTCATATAAACACGTTTGTATTTGCTTCAATAGAAGCCTCTGATATTTGAATCATTTTTAAGGGATATTATTCAGGAGATAACTTCACATTTCTGTTGCAGGGATGTACACTGGGTACAATGCTCTGAGCATGGCTTTGGCCATGCCACAAAGTGGAAATGTAGTAGCTTGTGAAATACAAGAAACCTATGTGGACATCGCCAAACCGTTTTTTAAAGAGGTGAGAACATTTCTTTGTGAATATCACGTCAAGTCTTCAACACAAGATAAAAAAAGACACAGTACAGCCTGGTGCTTGTGTCTCATTTGAATTTGCAACTTTAGTGAGATTGATTGATGCTTCTGTCAGAGCAAGATTGTGCAGCAGACAGCAGACTGCACATCTACCTTCTGTCAGTGTGTCTTCACAAAATGTTGCCAGCTGGAGAATAAAAAAGGTGTCTGCTCAGGAAACTGTGTCACCCAAACAGGAAAATCAATTCCTGTTTAGCCTTGCCTAACATTCTCTTTCAAAAACAATTAAAGATTCTGCACAACTCTCATATAATGTAACCTTTTCTCTAGGCTGGAGTTGAAAATAAGATAGATGTACGCCATGAAATAGCAATGAAGACACTAGGTATGTTTTTGTATACATCTCAGTTATGTTTTTTTAATCAAAGAAAATTGACTTTGGACATTTTAAATGTATATCTCTGTTTCATCAGATGAACTGATTGCAGCCGGGGAAGCTGGAACATATGACTTTGTGTTCATCGATGCTGATAAATTAAACTATGACATATACTACGAGAAGTCGTTAGAGCTCATACGAACAGGGGGCATCATTGCGATTGACAATGTAAGTACACTTTTCATAAGCAGGATCCAGCTTGCTGTGGGATTTAAAGGTGTGCAGCATGTTAAGACTGGGACCAGAATGAATCAGCAGTGTTGTGTTTGTCTTTGAAGGTGCTGTGGAGCGGAAGGGTTGTGAATCCTGCTCCCAGTGACCTCACCTCCCAGGCTCTGGATGCTCTCAATAAAAAGCTTCACAAGGACGAGAGGATCGATCTGAGCATGCTCCCTGTGGGCGACGGGCTGTCCATTGTCATTAAACGCTAAATTATGAGTTGAAAAGTTCCATGTTTGGCCTGCTTAAGATTTACTAAATAAAAAACATGATAGTACATTGCCTTCTCAATTTTTTTGTCTGCAACAGCAATCATCCAGCAGATTACATATTATACAAGTCCCTCTCTGTGTTCACTGTTTTACAAAGACAGCAATCATGAAAGAGCTATACATACAGTTTCATCAAGTGACAATACAGAGTGCTTCAGCTCAGCATCGTAACAAAAAAACATATACTTAATTTAAATAGAGGATGTCTTTGTTAAGGACATGAAACATTTTGTTTAGTTTTCAGGCTGATGTGATCAACTCTGTCTGTAGCTAGAATACACTGAACACTTAAAAAAATACAGGCTATAGAAGTGGAGTAAAGTAAAATGTTTTATAGAGCTACATTTAAGTACTGTAAAGTGTGATGAACATGTCAGCCTTTATACAGCACAAATGTTAACATCAAAATAGCAATAAGACATACTGAAAATACAAGTTTAGGCTTTTAAAGATTGTGTAATGAGATTACTGTTAAAAAAACAAAAATAACAATCATATTTCATTTTTAACAACTATAGTGGTTTATGTTCAAATGTATATTCATTCATATTTATATACTGTTTAAACAGTGGAAGTATACGGTCTAGCAGTGCTCTTATAGCAAAACGTAGGACTTATTTAAGTATATGTGGTTGAGTTAAATTATATTGATGTAGAATATTTCCCTCCAATATGAAATGCAAACACTGCGTAACAACAATTGTAACAAAGTACCTGACAACATTCAGTAGCCTACTGAAAATAAATAATAATAAAAAGACACACTGAAGAAAAGTTTTGGACGAACGAAAACGTAACCACCAAATGCAACCACATGACTTGATTTCCGGCTTTTCATCAGGATATATGTAAATATTTATTAAACACTTTATTATATTATAAGATGGTGTAAGCCTTGATCTGAAGTCAGTAAGAAGTGAAGGAAAAGTATGTGGTGTTTTAAATGACGTCATCTAAAAGCAGTAAAGCAGGTTGGTCGTGGAATATTGTAGAGTGAAATGAAAGATCTTAACAATGTAAACGCTCTCTAATAATGATAATAAAAATAATAATAATAATAATAATAATAATAATAATAATAACAATACAAATAACAACAGTTATAATAATAATAATGTACAGAAGCTTTATTTTGTTGGGGTTGGTCAGTCCTTTCACGTCACTGCTTTCTGCGACAAATCGCGGTGTAAGCTCTCATTAAACATCAGCTGATGCTTCACCTATTCAGCACTCCGGACAGCTCCGTTCTGCACACCGAGCAGATGGAGTCGGTATAAAAACCCGTCCTCTGCAGCGGAGAAACATCACCACAGCCTGAGTCTCAGCATGGAGAACAGACTCCTCTTTCCGCACAGGAAAGCTCAAGATGAGTATTCACAGTGCAAGCCGACACGTTCGGGGTTAGATAGCAGGGCCGTCTCCACCGGCATGGATTTGACTAACCCTGGGAAGTTTAATGAGAAGGAATTGATGCATGGCTTAAACGATCGTCTCGCAGGATTCATAGAGAAGGTGCACCACCTGCAGTACCAGAATACTCTGCTAGAGAGAGAAATCGGTGAGATAAGAGGGAAAGCGAAACCCGCCTCTTGTCTGGAGGAAGAGTATGGACCAGAGCTCAGGAAACTGAGGCAGCTGCTTCAGGAAATCACTCATCAGAAGCATCAGATTGAAGTCGAGCACGACAATTTTGAGGAAGACCTGTCCAATTTAAGGAGACAACATGACCAGGAAGCGAGGAGCAGATCGGATGCAGAGAGCAATATCGTGGTCCTCAAGAAGGACATTAATGACGCGTATCAGGCTAAACTACAGATGGACAAGAAAGCGCAGTCTCTCGTGGATGAAATCCAGTTCCTGAAGGGAAACCATGAAGCCGAGGTGTCAGAGATAATGGACCAAATCCAGGATGCACAGGTGACTGTCAAGGCGCATGCATTTGGAAACTCCGGAATTACTGCGGCACTCCGGGACATCAGGGCACAACTGGAAGGTCATACCGTGTCTGACGTCCAGCAGCAGGGAGACACTTTCCAATCTCAGTTTGCAAGGCTAACAGAAGCAGCTGAGAGCCAGAGAGAGGCGTTAAAAGCGACCCAGCAAGAGATCCAGGAGTACAGGAAGCGCCTGCAGACCAAGGACATCGAGCTGGACTGCACTTATGGCACCAGGGAGGCGCTGCAGAAGCAACTCCGTGACGTGGAGGATCGCCACCAGGAAGAAATGATTCATTACCAGGTGAGACTCACTTTGTAAAAGCATAGTTTAATAAAGAAAATGCTCTAAATAGGGTCCAGTAACACTCTTTCTTTCTCTCCTGTTTCAGAACACAATCAAAGAACTTGAAAATGAGCTCATAAATTGCAAATTTGACATGTCCGGTTACCTGCGGGAGTACCAGGACCTGTTGAATGTGAAGATGGCTTTGGATGTGGAGATAATGACTTACAGGTAAGGTTTGCTGATTTCTAAATGGCGTTAACTGTTAGAGAGGGACAGCTCTCGTTATTTCAAAGGCTAGCTTCATTAGGGATTAAGAATTACGAGTTTAAGAACAAAGCTATTAAACAAGGTATAGTTCAATGCAAACAATCACAATGTTTTATTATGTGAATATGGTCGATTATAAACTAATGTATAGATGCCTTGTATTGCCTGTTGAAAATATAAAATACATGACAGGCTGCTACAATCTAAACCACTATCTTAAAAGACACAACATTCTGTACATTTATTTGTTATTAACTGTTTTGTGTGTTGGTCTATTAATGAACTAACTCGAGCTCCGAATTGATGTTGCACTATTTGTTTATATTACCTCAAAGAAAGGGGGATGTGTTGATTAGATAGATACACACTCCTACCACAAGGTGTCGCCACATAGTTTTGATCTATGTTTAAATCCACATGTAAGGTAAAAGACCTGAACAATACCTGTTGATGAAAGATGGTTAAGACTTTAGCACGGAGCACGAGTCAGTTCATTTAAGACCAACAAACAAAACATTAACCAATAATGTTTGCAAAATGTAGTCATTTATACTGTCAAGTACTGTAACTCATTAATTGGTTACTAACATGTCTAAAGCTGGTTAATAAAGCTTAAAAAAGTATTTAAACATAAACAGGTTGTGTTAATCTCACAACAGAGCTCAACCCTGAAAACTGTCACGATGCAAAGTTCTTCAATATAACTTAATCATTAAGATCGGAAGAGAACATCAATAATGTTATATTCTATAAAGCTTTTAAACTATATATTCTTATGTAACCCCATAGTTTATCATCAACATTTTGATAAGCAACCAATACATTTTCAGATTGTATTAATTGTTAAAAGTTACTAATTACTCACCTCCTCTAAAGACCATTTAGTAGTATGTTTTTGCAGTTGCTTAAATCTTTAATTTAAATTTTCCTTATAGCTTTAGCCTTTATTTGATCTCATGAAGTCCCTAATTGACACACCCTGAACAGTCTGGTGGGTCATGGTCCAGGTCATTTGATTTTGTGTTCCCATAACAACATGTCCAAGATGTCCATGTGCCAGACTAACACATGTGACACAACTAGCTACATTTCAAAAGCTTTTTTGTTTGTTGCTAAAGGTCAAATTCAAGCCATTTAAGAATTAAATTGCTTAACATGTCCTTTATTGCATTTAACCTGTTGAGGAAACATTTCTTGATCAAATAGATATGAAAGAAATGAGACAAACATTGCTGTGACACTGGTGTCACATCGGGACTATAACCCTAAACGTTCACAGTAAACCCAAAGTGACATATATGCACAATTAGAAATATGATTATGATCTGCTCAGTTAATTTAGCTGATTCAATTATATTTAGTTAATATATTCTTTATTCTTCAATTCAAAGAATGTTCAAACTAATTTAAATCAAAATATCATCCTCATTAATTAAGTTATAAATAAGAGTTATTTTACCATTAAAGCCCATTGTGACATATATGTCACATTTCAGATATTTGACACTAGGGGGGGTTTCTTGTCAGAAATGTGTTCTATGTGGTCTATTTAGTCTAAATTATGTTCCCCTTAATGTCCCCAAAAGTAGAAATGGGTACGAGTTCTTATGGGTTAAAATACATGTTGTATCAGAAGTGTACATTTATCACAGCAGATTTAAATCTGTGTCGTATACCTTGCAGGAAACTTCTCTGCGGTGAGGAGACTCGTCTGACCGCGATGTCCGACACCCACGTCTCCCTGCCCTACATCTACCACCAGTCCCCCGTTTACATGCTGCCCTGTCTGAGACCGGGAGGCCCACACAGACGCGCCGAGCCCCACTACAAGTTCGTGGAGGAGATCATAACGGAGACCACCAGGGAAATAGAGATGTCTGAATATGAGGAGACGGGTTCAGAGGAGACAGATGAGGGTACCAAAAGAGATAGAGGGAGCAGTGAGGAAGAGATGGATAATAAAGACAGTGGAGACGTGGAAAGAAAGCAGATGTCTGACAGTGAGCAGAATCAAGTAGCACCGGCTGGGGATTTAGTGAATGGATGTGATGCTGGCAGTCCTGTGGAAAGTAAAGAAGAGTCAGAAGAGACTGAAGCAGCTGACGATGAAGAGGATATAGATACAATTACTCCTAGCACAGTCGTATTAAGTGAGAGCCTTGATGAGAAAGATAACGAGCAACAGCAAAAAGTAGCTGAAGAGACAAAAGAAGAGAAAGAAGTTGGAGGTACAATGGTTGAGAAAGATATATCTCAAAAGCCAGATGATTTAAAGCCAGAGGTCCCTGCGGAGGATGAACTTATTAAAAAATCTGATAGTAAAAAAGGAGATGCTGAGAAAGATAGTTTTATCCCAGCTCAAGCAGAGAAGCCTGTTGACGAGTCCTCGGCTCAGGTGTCTAAAGAATCAGACAAACCTCAAGAGCTAAGCAGTGTTGAAGCCCAAGTTAAGGTACCTGCTTCAGAAACAGACAAGAAAACTGCAGATTTAACAGAAGACACAAAAATCACTCTTTCAGAGCTTTCAGAAAAGACTCAAGTATCTTTGACTACCCCAAAGATTGAGGCAAAGGAAAGCAAAGTCTTATTAAGTGAGAGCCTTGATGAGAAGGATAACCAGCAACAACAAAAAGTAGCTGAAAAGCCAAAAGAGGAGAAAGAAGCTGCAGGTGCAATGGTTGAGAAAGATATCTCTCAAAAGTCAGATGACTTAAAGCCAAAAGTCCCTGATAGTAAAAAAGAAGATGCTGAGAAAGATAGTTTTATCCCAGCTCAACCAAAGGAGCTTGTTGACGAGACCTCAGCTCAGGTGTCTAAAGAATCAGACAAAACTCAAGAGCTTAGCAGTGTTGAGCAAGTTAAGGTACCTGCTTCAGAAACAGCTGAGAAAACTGCAGATTTGACTGAAGTCACAAAAATCACTCTTTCAGAGCTTTCAGAAAAGGTTACAGTGTCTTTGACTACACCTAAGAGTGAGGCAAAGGAAAGCAAAGTTTCATTAAGTGAGGGCCTTGATGAGAAGCAAAATGAGCAACAACAAAAAGTAGCTGAAAAGACAAAAGAGAAGAAAGAAGCTGCAGGTGCAAAGGTTGAGAAAGATATCTCTCCAAAGTCAGATGATTTAAAGCCAGAGGTCCCTGTGAAGGATGAACTTCTGAAAAAATCTGATAGTAAAAAAGAAGATGCTGAGAAAGATAGTTTTATCCCAGCTCAACCAAAGGAGCCTGTTGACGAGACCTCAGCTCAGGTGTCTAAAGAATCAGACAAAACTCAAGAGCTAAGCAGTGTTGAGCAAGTTAAGGTACCTGCTCTTGAAATGGCAGAGAAAACTGCAGATTTACCAGGAGACACAAAGAGCACTCTGTCTGAAGAGAAACAGATTTCAGAAAAGGCTCAAGTGTCTTTGACTACACCGAAGATTGAGGCAAAGGAAAGCAAAGTCTTATCAAGTGAGAGCCTTGATGAGAAGGATAACCAGCAACAACAAAGAGTAGCTGAAAAGCCAAAAGAGGAGAAAGAAGCTACAGGTACAAAGGTTGAGAAAGATATCTCTCAAAAGTCAGATGATTTAAAGCCAAAAGTCCCTGATAGTAAACAAGGAGATGCTGAGAAAGATAGTTTTATCCCAGCTCAACCAAAGGAGCCTGTTGACAAGACCTCAGCTCAGGTGTCTCAAGAATCAGACAAAACTCAAGAGCTTAGCAGTGTTGAGCAAGTTAAGGTACCTGCTTCAGAAACAGCTGAGAAAACTGCAGATTTACCAGAAGACACAAAGAGCACTGTGTCCGTAGAGAAAGAGCTTTCAGAAAAGGTTACAGTATCTTTGACTACACCTAAGAGTGAGGCAAAGGAAAGCAAAGTCTTATTAAGTGAGAGCCTTGATGAGAAGGATAACCAGCAACAACAAAAAGTAGTTGAAAAGCCAAAAGAGGAGAAAGAAGCTACAGGTACAAAGGTTGAGAAAGATATCTCTCAAAAGTCAGATGACTTAAAGCCAAAAGTCCCTGATAGTAAAAAAGGAGATGCTGAGAAAGATATTTTTATCCCAGCTCAAGCAGAGAAGCCTGTTGACGAGACCTCGGCTCAGGTGTCTCAAGAATCAGACAAAACTCAAGAGCTAAGCAGCGTTGAGCAAGTTAAGGTACCTGCTTCAGAAACAGCTGAGAAAACTGCAGATTTAACACAAGAGACAAAAAGCACTCTGTCCGTAGAGAAACAGATTTCAGAAAAGACTCAAGTATCTTTGACTACACCAAAGATTGAGGCAAAGGAAAGCAAAGTCTTATTAAGTGAGAGCCTTGATGAGAAGGACAACCAGCAACAACAAAAAGTAGCTGAAAAGACAACATCTAAAGAAGCTGCAGGTACAAAGGTTGAGAAAGATATCTCTCCAAAGTCAGATGATTTAAAGCCAGAGGTCCCTGTGGAGGATGAACTTCTTAAAAAATCTGATAGTAAAAAAGGAGATGCTGAGAAAGATAGTTTTATCCCAGCTCAAGCAGAGAAGGCTGCTGACGAGTCCTCAGCTCAGGTGTCTAAAGAATCAGACAAAACTCAAGAGCTAAGCAGTGTTGAAGAGCAAGTTAAGATACCTGCTTCAGAAACAGACAAGAAAACTGCAGATTTAACAGAAGACACAAAGAGCACTGTGTTTGCAGAGAAAGAGCTTTCAGAAAAGGTTCAAGTATCTTTGACTACACCTAAGAGTGAGGCAAAGGAAAGCAAAGTTGTATCAAGTGAGAGCCTTGATGAGAAGCAAAATGAGCAAAGACAAAAAGTAGCTGAAAAGCCACAAGAGGAGAAAGAAGCTGCAGGTACAAAGGTTGAGAAAGATATCTCTCCAAAGTCAGATGACTTAAAGCCAGATGTCACTCATAGTAAAAAAGAAGATGCTGAGAAAGATAGTTTTATCCCAGCTCAAGCAGAGAAGCCTGCTGACGAGTCCTCAGCTCAGGTGTCTCAAGAATCAGACAAAACTCAAGAGCTAAGCAGTGTTGAGCAAGTTAAGATACCTGCTCTAGAAATGGCAGAGAAAACTGCAGATTTAACACAAGAGACAAAGAAAACTTTATCCGTAGAGAAAGAGCTTTCAGAAAAGACTCAAGTGTCTTTGACTACACCTAAGAGTGAGGCAAAGGAAAGCAAAGTCTTATTAAGTGAGAGCCTTGATGAGAAGGATAACCAGCAACAACAAAAAGTAGCTGAAAAGCCAAAAGAGGAGAAAGAAGCTACAGGTACAAAGGTTGAGAAAGATATCTCTCCAAAGTCAGATGATTTAAAGCCAAAAGTCCCTGATAGTAAAAAAGAAGATGCTGAGAAAGATATTATCCCAGCTCAAGCAGAGAAGCCTGTTGACGAGTCCTCAGCTCAGGTGTCTATAGAATCAGACAAAACTCAAGAGCTAAGCAGCGTTGAGCAAGTTAAGGTACCTGCTCTAGAAATGGCAGAGAAAACTGCAGATTTAACACAAGAGACAAAAAGCACTCTGTCCGTAGAGAAACAGATTTCAGAAAAGACTCAAGTATCTTTGACTACACCGAAGATTGAGGCAAAGGAAAGCAAAGTCTTATTAAGTGAGAGCCTTGATGAGAAGGATAACCAGCAACAACAAAAAGTAGCTGAAAAGACAAAAGAGGAGAAAGAAGCTGCAGGTACAAAGGTTGAGAAAGATATCTCTCCAAAGTCAGATGATTTAAAGCCAAAAGTCCCTGCGGAGGATGAACTTCTGAAAAAATCTGATAGTAAAAAAGGAGATGCTGAGAAAGATATTATCCCAGCTCAAGCAGAGAAGCCTGCTGACGAGTCCTCGGCTCAGGTGTCTAAAGAATCAGACAAACCTCAAGAGCTTAACAGCGTTGAAGAGCAAGTTAAGATACCTGCTTCAGAAACAGACAAGAAAACTGCAGATCTAACAGAAGAGACAAAGAGCACTGTGTTTGCAGAGAAAGAGCTTTCAGAAAAGGTTACAGTATCTTTGACTACACCGAAGATTGAGGCAAAGGAAAGCAAAGTCTTATCAAGTGAGAGCCTTGATGAGAAGGATAACCAGCAACAACAAAAAGTAGTTGAAAAGCCAAAAGAGGAGAAAGAAGCTACAGGTGCAAAGGTTGAGAAAGATATCTCTCCAAAGTCAGATGATTTAAAGTCAAAAGTCCCTGATAGTAAAAAAGAAGATGCTGAGAAAGATAGTTTTATCCCAGCTCAAGCAGAGAAGCCTGCTGACGAGTCCTCAGCTCAGGTGTCTCAAGAATCAGACAAAACTCAAGAGCTAAGCAGCGTTGAGCAAGTTAAGGTACCTGCTTCAGAAACAGCTGAGAAAACTGCAGATTTGACAGCAGAGGCAAAGAGCACTCTGTCCGTAGAGAAAGAGCTTTCAGAAAAGGTTACAGTATCTTTGACTACACCGAAGATTGAGGCAAAGGAAAGCAAAGTCTTATTAAGTGAGAGCCTTGATGAGAAGGATAACCAGCAACAACAAAAAGTAGCTGAAAAGCCAAAAGAGGAGAAAGAAGCTACAGGTACAAAGGTTGAGAAAGATATCTCTCCAAAGTCAGATGACTTAAAGTCAAAAGTCCCTGATAGTAAAAAAGGAGATGCTGAGAAAGATAGTTTTATCCCAGCTCAAGCAGAGAAGCCTGCTGACGAGACCTCGGCTCAGGTGTCTCAAGAATCAGACAAAACTCAAGAGCTAAGCAGTGTTGAGCAAGTTAAGGTACCTGCTTCAGAAACAACTGAGAAAACTGCAGATTTGACTGAAGACACAAAAATCACTCTTTCAGAGCTTTCAGAAAAGACTCAAGTATCTTTGACTACACCCAAGATTGAGGCAAAGGAAAGCAAAGTCTTATTAAGTGAGAGCCTTGATGAGAAGGATAACCAGCAACAACAAAAAGTAGCTGAAACGTCAACATCTAAAGAAGCTGCAGGTACAGTGGTTGAGAAAGATATCTCTCCAAAGTCAGATGATTTAAAGCCAGAGGTCCCTGTGGAGGATGAACTTCTTAAAAAATCTGATAGTGAAAAAGAAGATGCTGAGAAAGATAGTTTTATCCCAGCTCAAGCAGAGAAGCCTGTTGACAAGTCCTCGGCTCAGGTCTCTCAAGAATCAGACAAACCTCAAGAGCTAAGCAGCGTTGAGCAAGTTAAGGTACCTACTTCAGAAACAGACAAGAACACTGTAGATTTAACAGAAGACACAAAGAGCACTGTGTCCATTGAGAAAGAGCTTTCAGAAAAGGTTACAGTATCTTTGACTACACCGAAGATTGAGGCAAAGGAAAGCAAAGTCTTATTAAGTGAGAGCCTTGATGAGAAGGATAACCAGCAACAACAAAAAGTAGCTGAAAAGCCAAAAGAGGAGAAAGAAGCTACAGGTACAAAGGTTGAGAAAGATATCTCTCCAAAGTCAGATGATTTAAAGCCAAAAGTCCCTGATAGTAAAAAAGGAGATGCTGAGAAAGATAGTTTTATCCCAGCTCAAGCAGAGAAGCCTGTTGACGAGTCCTTGACTCAGGTGTCTCAAGAATCAGACAAAACTCAAGAGCTAAGCAGCGTTGAGCAAGTTAAGGTACCTGCTCTAGAAACAACCAAGAAAACTGTAGATTTAACACAAGACACAAAAATCACTCTTTCAGAGCTTTCAGAAAAGACTCAAGTGTCTTTGACTACACCCAAGAGTGAGGCAAAGGAAAGCAAAGTCCTATTAAGTGAGAGCCTTGATGAGAAGGACAACCAGCAACAACAAAGAGTAGCTGAAACGTCAACATCTAAAGAAGCTACAGGTACAAAGGTTGAGAAAGATATCTCTCAAAAGTCAGATGACTTAAAGCCAAAAGTCCCTGATAGTAAAAAAGAAGATGCTGAGAAAGATAGTTTTATCCCAGCTCAAGCAGAGAAGCCTGTTGACGAGACCTCAGCTCAGGTGTCTCAAGAATCAGACAAAACTCAAGAGCTAAGCAGCGTTGAAGAGCAAGTTAAGGTACCTGCTCTAGAAACAACCGTGAAACCCATAGATTTAACAGCAGAGACAAAGAGCACTCTGTCTGAAGAGAAACAGATTCCAGAAAAGGCTCAAGTATCTTTGACTACACCCAAGAGTGAGGCAAAGGAAAGCAGTAAATCTGAAGCCTGCAAAGGTGAGGATAAAGTAGCAAAAGCCATTGAAGATGATAAACATGGTAGCATTAAAGATGAAAATAAAGAGTCTTCTCCTGAATCTGATGTGAAAAGTCTTCCTCGAGTGGAGGACCAGCAGCTGAACAGTGGGGGGGGAACCAATGAAGTCCAAACTGTGTTGCCAGGAGAAAAGACAGCCGTCAATACAGAAATCAAAGAGATGCATCAGGGAGCACCGGAAGGAAGCCAGGATCAGACACTGCCTGAAGATTCAGAGAACATAAAGGATCCTCAAGGTACAACTGAGAAGGTGGAGAGTAGTAAGTCACAGAAATAAGAGCTCGATAAAACAGGAAATATCTGCTAAGGCTTTGGAAGTGACGAGATTTCCACCTGAAATTGAATGTGACAGCAGTTGGCAGGCAAATATCAGGGATAGTGAAGCTACAAATAGAGAAAGCTTAACTAATGCAGAAGCACATGAGAAGCATAAGCTGAGCAAAGCACAAGGAAGGAAGCGGCAATTCTCTTCACAATGAAAAGGAGAGCATGATTCTTCTCTACAGCTTTGCCTTTGAACTTGAAATGTGATGCATTCATATTGTTTGACTCACCACTCAATGTTATCATGAATGTAAAATATGCAAAGTTACATTTATACTAGCATCAATCTTTACTTGCTTTGGTATGTGCTGACAAATAAATACAATATCAACAAAAACACTCTGGATACTGTGTTGAATGAACTCACCAAATGTAATGAACTTGTTTCTGCTACGATGTGTTTGCTTTACTGACATGTGGTTTCCATTTGCTCAGCTATATTTTATGCTTTCATTCCCCCTCTTTACAGCAGTTTGCCGTTCAGCACTAACACCTCCATCCATCAGGTCTCAACACCAACTGCTAAAGGTGGTGTAGATCAATATCAGACCATTTCATTAATAGCAACAATCATCATTTTACATGCACTGCCATTCCACAAACATAGTGCTACCAAGTATACAGTGGGCTGCTTAACTACCCCATTTACTGTCACCTTGCATTGCTCCATATTCCATAGACTTGTGTTGGCATACAAGAACATTAGTGCCATTAGAGCAGGGGTGTCCAAACTACGGCCCGCGGGACATTTTTGAATCGGCCCTCAGCAAATTAAAAAAAGTATAATGAAATACGGCCCACAAATGAAACTCGAGCTTTTCTTGTATTGTACTTATTAAATATATCTGTAAACATATATTTCACAGTAGTGATCATGTGTTAATAAGCCCAATTTACAATAAATGTAGTCAATTACATTTGAAAATATGTTCTAACAAATGTTAGTCGATAAGAAAAAATCCCAATAATTTATATACATAACAAACTTGAAATATACCCTTCCTATTTGCTCTTATGATAATCAATCTGGGGCTCCTGTTGTAAGGGATGAGCTGCTAACAAATTAAATGAAACTCTCTGGAGACCTGGGATGTAGGCTGTTTATTTTTCTTAAAGCAGATTGAAGTATCAAGCATAATATATCTACTTTTGATTGATTTTGCTAACTTATAATTTAACTTATGAGGCAGTATACCTCTCCTCTAGTGAGCGGCCCGGCCCTTCGAATATCTTTCTGTATGTGGCCCTCGGTGAAAAAAGTTTGGACACCCCTGCATTAGAGGGCAAGACAAGTTGCTATAGCGATAGATGTGAGGCATATGAAAAATAGTGAGCACATATCAACCATGACTTTGGTCATTAAAGAGGACATTAAGAAAACGGGATTATTTCACTCATCTTCTTACCATGAAGAATAATTTGCTCTGTGACTTCCTTTTAAGAAAATGTCCCAGTTAGACTGCATGTTGCATTATTTTATTGATAGCTTTTCATTTCCTTTTGGTCAATTCCTCAAAAGTTTCAACTCTACACACCTGATATATTCATAAGACTTTTGATTGCAGGCACCCATACCTTGCCCCAAGTGAAATAGAACGTACAAATCTTAGTAATAATTGAAATGATGCATGAAAAATATCACTTTAAAACACATACCTAGGGGTGACACCATCTCATTTGGTGATACTGGCCCCTGAAAGGTCCCCTATTATACTGTTTTTCATTACAGGTCTCAGATATATACAAAACGTGTCTCTGAAGTGTTTGGCTCCAAATACCAAACAGATTGTGCATTGTAACATCCCAAAAACCCGTTTCAAAAGTGCTGATTCTCTGTCTGTTACTTTAGATGAAAAATAAGGAGCCACTCCCCACGCACCTCTGAGAGATATTTGGTTAAAAAGAACACAATGGTGCTCTAGGAGGAGATTCAGGTGATACGGGGGTTACCTTGGTTGGTTATTAGCTAATGGTTACACAAGGCAAAAAATCTGATCAGCTCATTTTCAGACAGGTTTTTAAATAAATGTATCAGGACAAAAAGTGAGCAAAACTTTTTTCCAGAATCTCTTTACACAGAGGGGACACATGTTTATGCATAAAACACATGAAAACGTGAATTTTGCATAATAGGTGACCTTTAAACGTAAATAAGTTATCGTTAGTAGAACTTCAATATCAAGACCAGAAATGCATTTGTAGAGTTCAAAGACTTTATTGAAAATGTTTACATACACACAGAAGGACCTCCAAGACTTCCTGCGGGCTTTGTCACTGCCCAGCACAGGGAAGCACTTTCCAAGAGAGCAACTTGGAGTTACATCTCGAGGACAATGATAGTTTGGCATTACTGTGAACATGAATTATGCAGCCCCCCCCCAGTTGTCTGTTGGTACAGAATGAACATAAACTAATTCTGCCATGTCGGCCACATGTACATGTTTCTCTCAAAATTACAGACCCAACTTTAAGCAACCCAAAAACTGCTCAGTTTAAGGGAAGGTCTAACAGAACATCACAACCATTATGGCCAACACAAAACAATTCATTACAGAGCTTTAGTTTGTCCTTGTGTGCATGAACAGGATGGGTGCAGCAGTATTTTAAATAATATCAGAAAAAAAGACTAGTGTATTTAACAAGGTTTGTCAATTAAAACTGTTGGGATGACAAAGGAATATCAGATGGTCACGATTATAAAATCAGAGAGAAGGTATGACAACGCTCACCACATAAAACCATCAACTGATGTTGACCATCTGGGGATTACCACAATAAAGCCACACAGAGTTGGTGACGGGCGAAAGGATTGTATTTCATTATTATGGCAGTGCTTGACAAACAATGACATGATTTATAAATAATATGCCACCCACTGTCTCCTGAATAGATGCAACTACAAAGTAAAAAGCAACAAAGGTCAAATATACCAATGACAGAAGCACCAACTTGAGGTGATACACAACAAGTTAGAGTTTGTTGTTGTAGCCTTTGAACCAATCTCTCCAAGTGATCCCCTGCTGGTTTGAGTTGGACATACACTGTAAGGCCAGATTCTTCTGATATTCCCTAGTCCCTTGCAGTATGTTGAAAGCTTAGGCTTCCAGTTCCAGGCCCAGACCCACCTTGTGGCCTCCTGCGTTGATGTTCTTGCCATCGACCAGACCAGACAGGGTGAGTTTCACACCTGCACAGGCAAAAGGAACCAACATTAGCCATTTCATGAACAAACTACATTTGTCGAACGTGTGTTGAAAGACTTTGAGCCTGAGGCTGTTGAGTGTTGCTATAATGACTCAATGTCAAGTTATTTAAAGCATGCATTTGCTCATAACTGAAGTGCTGTGTACTATAAACACAGGTATTAAAATGTAGCACTTCAACATTTGTTTAAATCCTCCAGCTATCCATTGACTGGTAGGAAACCTCTTACCTGGTCTAAGAGTCTGGGTGTACCCAACACCAACAAGGCTATTGTTGTTCACTTTAGCCTATGGAGGAAAAAAAAAAAAAAAAAATCAATTGGTAAGAATAAGTCAACATTTTATATTATTTTATCCACACAAAGCCGACGGCCTGTACTGCAATACTTACGCTGATGGATGCATCCTTATCCAGCTGGTATTTGGCAGCGATACCGAAGCGTGTGCTGTTGCTGCCGGCGGTCCAGGCCAGGTTGACCCCCGTCTCCAGCTTGTCGCTCACCTTCTGGTAGATGGAGCCTCCAAACTCAGCACCATCGTTACTGTAAATAAAATCAGGAATTTCTAATTTAAAAAGAGGTTTTGGACGTTTTGCTTTTATCTTTTAGTAAAACATTCATCCACTTTTTGTTGTCTCTATATTTTATGACTACATTACCTGAAAAGGCAGTAGTCCAGCTTTTTGTTTTTTTACAAAAACCCAAACCTAATGTAAAAGTAATCTACTCACACATTGGTGTGCAGCTGGAAGTCACCGGTCTTGTAGCCAATGGCGAAGTTGTTCCGGGTCATCTTGGATTTGGCGGTGTCAAAGCTCATCTGGTAACCAGCGAGCCACCCCTCGTAGCCGACGACAGCAGCTCCGTGGATGGTGGGGCCAGCGAAGTCGAAGTCAACATCGCAGCCCATGTTGACGAACTCACGCTTGTAGGCGGTCTTAACTTTGCCACTCTTCTTGCTGTTGATGAGAAACAAAGCTTTCGTTAATATCAGCTGAAATCAGATTGGGCTTAATTAAAGCATTTGTAAGAAGGTCAGGTTATATTTCCTGTAGTAAGCTTTTTGCACATATAAAAAAGGTAGGAAAAGGAATTTATAAAGAAATATATATATATACACATCTTTTTCTATTATGTTTTATCATTTCACAAAAGAAAGCACTTGCGTTAACCAAACTACGATACAAAGTACAACCCCAGCTTGCCGTCAGTGTGAGACGACATGCATGTTCTGAAGCTAAGCAGAAACTGTCCGCTTTATTTATCTTGCAAATTGGGTTGTATTGTTTTTTTTTCCAGACCGTTTCGAAATGCTAAAACATGCCAAATATATCCAATCGTTCAAGAGCCAACAATTTTGATGTCCTCTTTTTTGATACGTTGAAGAGGTCACATACGTAACTGTTGCCTGTCCTTCAAGCACCGCAGGGTGTTGTGAAACTGACTTTGGAAACCACTGCCATAGATTTATGATCCCAGAGATAATTCTTAACATATGGCCTCTGCCAGCTGTCAGCTCAAGTAGCAAACGGGATAAGGACATTATCAGTAGACTGCCACTTCAACTGTTGCACCAGCTTGGCTTTGAAGTAGAACTTTGGAGTGATTGCTGAGTCAAAAGTCAAAGTTCTGCTGTTTACCTCCCAGTCTGAGCATGACACTGTATCCTCGAACATGCTGTAGCCAAATATCTCCACCCGTCACCTTCCCACCCTCCAGTCTGAAAGACGACACGCTTCCTCTGGACTATGTGCCACTTTCTTCATGTGATTTACACCTCATAGTAAGCAAACCCACAAGGATTGCCAGAGCAGCTGGGCACACTAGTACAACCATTTGTATACCTCCTAGAGAACAGCAGACTGCAAGACATAATCTAAGCAGTTTCGCAAAACCCAACAGCTCATTTTGTGTTGCAATAGAATGTTCCATTATGGGACAGGGGTCACACGGCAGCTTCACTTTTCAGAATTATGTACAGCACTGATCATGTTGCTAAAATGACTCATGTGGAGGGCAGCAGGCTTAATACAAGTAATATTCACATGAAACTCAATTTCCAATGAATCGATCATAACCATAATCTTACCCAGTGTTTGGTGAGAAGGTTGTGTCAAAAGTCAACTTCAGTCCCTTGGCAATCTGTAACAAACCATTTGATGTTAAGATACAATTAATGTTGACTCTTTATGCTCACTGGATAAATATTGATGTTTGCACCTTGTTAAATACAGTGTAAAAATGTTTTGTTTATATTGCTCACCTGGTCTTCAACGGTGATTTCTGTTCCCAAGGTGTTGTCAGTGTTCCACTTCTCGGTGAAGGTCAGGCCATATTCTGCCCTCTTGTATTTAGTTTCCAGACTGCCCGCAACTTTGCTGGTATCAGTGTTGGAGTTACCGGCTGTTTTGAACTCCTACAAGGGACAATTTTAGAGACATGACAATCAGAAGGAATGCTTTAAAGACACTGTATGGAATAACTGGGATTGAACTAAAACTCATTCAGTGCTCTTTCTCATTACATTTGACACTTTTATTCTCGGCTACTTCTCATTTTTTGTTTTTAACCTAACGCCAAATTTGTTAAATATCTTCCATTCTGGGACATTTTGAAAATAATAGTTCCACTACTAGGAAAAATATTGAATGGACTATTTGTGCCATATACAGAGATATGTAACACATGAAGATGGGCAAAAGTACTGAAGTTGGATGTCATTGTTCATTGGGCAGCTTTCATGTTTACGGATCCAGGAAGGTCCAAAAAATGACTGTATTTAACTTTCGTATTGCCTAATCCCATTAGACTTGAATGGACAGTAACATAATTTGAGTTGTTGAAGTAAGTTGTAGTTTACTATTCTCAACCCATAAATAAATGAACTTACCACTCCACTGGCAGATTTTGTCTTGACATCAAGCTTCACCAAGCCAAATCCTGTGGAAAAAAATAAAACATGTTTAAATCATTTCAAAGGTTGTTTGCAATATCAAGTACACTTGGAAGTTCATATTTTCACATCACAGCATAACTTGGTCAAACTGGAGGAAACCATACCATAGCCTTTGTTGAAGATGTCCTTGGCAGACTTGCCCAGGTCACAATAGCAAGGAGGCACAGCCATTGTATCTGTGGAAAAGTGCAAAACACAAATTGTTCAAATTATTTTTGTGATTAGGGAGTGTGACATATGCATAATGCTGATCCAAGAGCAGCAAACACAATAAGTGAAACTTCAGTAGAAAGCCATTAGGCAAACAAACCAATACTTGGACTTAAAAGCATTAATTGCTGACTGTAAAATGTACCACTCATGCGTGTTGTATTGATTAAATGCAGATATGTTCTTTGTTTTTAGGCAATACACCTATAACCCTTAAGATTTAGTCAAAATACCAGCAGGTAACATTAGAGGAGAATTTGTTGGTAATGCAAAAAAAAAAAAAGGTCTCGAGGATTTGAATGCTTCAGTACATGTTCTTGCCGTGGTGCCTTTAACTGCTGAGTTGAGAGCTAGACTTTGCATTAGTGAGCATTTACAACGAGGATATCACCAAAATCCAATTCATGACTAATTGTAGCGGACTGAGCTAAATGTACAGTTCCTGTCGTCACATACTGTACAATACCTTTGATGCCATCTCCCTTTTATCGAACTATTATATAAATATCGGCAATTACACCTTCTACATTGTAGATATGCGGATATTTGCATTTTCAAAAAGTAGCTTTCACTTTTAATTCAACACGTCAGGCAGTGACAGCATTCTGGTCACAGCAGTGCAACAGTCTTGACAGCCGATGGACAAGGTTACCCAGCCAGAGAGGAGCCATTTTGCCGCACTGGAGAGGCTACTTTCAGGCCTGGCTCTTATTAAAACAGCTCCTTCACGTGTAATGGTAAGCACAGCAGGGCGTGGCGAGGCACATGCCCGTGCCAATTACCGGGATGAGTTAATTAACCAGTTTACTTGCATTATCAGCTAGCTACCTCACTACTGCTAACTAGGCCGTATGGAGGCTAACACATTCTTACTGAAGTTAAAGCAGTACGTTGTGAATATTGTCTTGAAATTAGCTTTGCACGGCAGCAGCCTCTTAATCAGTAGCACGAGACGTGTAAAACAAAGCATAACTCTTCTACTTTAAGTAGACATGTGTCAGACGCAGCATGCCGAGCGCTGCTAGCTTAGCTAACTTCGTTAGCCTGCAGAGTACCGCTGTGCGTAAAGTACGCGTAAACAACACTTCTCGCTTGTTAAGGAGTTAAATAACAGTGTGAAACTGAATAAATAGCTGTCTTACCAGGTAAGGATGGGTCTAGTGTTAAACTTAAGTGACTTTTTAGTAGATGTTGCTCACTAGGTACGGCCGAGGCAGGCGTCACCGGTAGAAGGGCGAGCTGAAGGAGACTGACTGGAGTGGATGCAACGAAATCCAGACCTATCACATCCCGGCGCAGGACCCAGGACAACCGCTCAATGTGCCTGAGTAAAAATGATTTCACGTGTTGTTGTTTTTTTTAAATTATTGTTCACTGTCAACATCTGCATATGCATATTTGTGTATGCTATATTTGTTTTCTTCTTCTTTGGGGGGTTTTACATTTGAGTAATGTATTTTGCTAAAAAAACGAAATGCCAATACAAATATTTGTCCAAAGAAATGAAATAATGCTTTCACATCACACAGCATGGTTGCATCACTGTTATCCTGGTACGATAGTTTTACCTGTTTTATTTTCTCTGATTGTTTACCCCTGACTCCTAATGTTGTGTATGTGTACTTTAGCAAATATAGTTGCTTTAAAAAAGGGAAACAAAGTCGTCAGATAAAATGGAAAACGTGACTGTTGTTTAAATAACTATGAAAGCACATTTCCACGACCATGACCCTAAAGATGCAAATATATATATATGTAGGACTACTGCTTTAAAAACACCTTTATGAATTGATTAATTTGTTTTGTTTGGTTTAAACTTTATTACATTAAATAATGAATGCATTTATTTAGCATTGGACTTTAACAGTTCAATCAGGAGAGACGGTTTTGATGTAATAATACATATTTATTGCGCAGATGCACAAATGAATGCAATGTTAATTTTGGCGATTAGGCCCCGTTGTGCAGGAAGTATCATTCGGGAAGGTAGAACCGATCCGATGAAACCCCCCTGGGGTCTAGACACTGGTGGTGGTGAATGGATAGTTGGGTCAGTCTGAAGAGGAGTGGTTTAGCTTGACCCTGGATTCAGAGGGACCGGAGGTGAAAAGGGGTGGAGGAGGGTTGCGTAGAGTCACCTGAAATGACAGCTGTCAGAGGGGGAAGAGCAGACTTAAAAGGTTTGACAGAACGCTATGATAGGCTCTTGGGAATAGAGCGAAGTGATTGGTTAAACTGAAGAGTGACGCCCCCGGTCACTTATTGAGAGGAGAGAGAGTAGTAACATGGGAATAGAGATACGTGAATGAGTAAAGACGGTCTTCCTGGTTGAACTTGCGCTGAGCTTCATTAGATAGCTTCAGTTTCAAAGTAGCTTCCCCAATACTGCCATTAGTATATGCTGTGTAAAGAAGCCTAAGGTGTAAATTCAGTGCACTCACTTTCCAATGAAAAGAGCATTTATCCAAGCACACTGACAAGTGACAGTAGCTACAATTGCGTAAATGACCAACACTTTGTATTTTTTTTACCAATAATTAAGAAAATAAGATTTAACAACATCACCTTCCCTTCCATGACTATACATTTCATGGATAATACCAAGTTACATATTGCTTTCTCAGTTCTGAATGTTTGCAGCTTGCTGGTGAGATAAAATCATGGTTTACTCCTTGATGCAAATATATCTTTATTCAGTTAACAACACAAGTTATTCCCCAAACATGCAATATAAATGTGCATTACTTTAAAAAAATAATTGAAAAGGGTACATATATTAAACAATATAAAATAAGACACAAAGCTAGTTTAAAGGTGGGGTAGGTAAGTTTGAGAAACCGGCTAGAGATACACTTTTTGTTATATTCCATGGAATGCTCTTAACATCCCGATAGCAATGAATATCTTAAGTGCTTTGACAAAAGATCCATAAAAAAATGTCATCTGTGGAAGCCGTAATACTGTAAAAAGTACGACCAATCATCTGAGCCGACCCGGCTAAAATAACTGGATGGCCTACCTGCCTGTCAGCCTTCCATCTGTGTACAAACTTATCTCGTGCCCTCATTGGTCATGTGCGCGTTCGTGTGTGTTGGAGGAGGGGCTCTATAAGGAAGTGGCAGATTTTTTCCGGCTGTGTATTTTCAAATTCTAGCGATCTCGAGCTGGTTTCTCCAAAATTACCTACCCCACCTTTAAATCAATGTTTATAAACATCATGAAAATAGGATCAGGATATATAATAATACACATTGGGAGTTTATCAAAGACAAGTATGAGTAGTAGACCCAACATACATAAGCATAAAGGCATTTGTCAAACACATAAAACAGAATAAAAAGAAACATAAACACAACTTGCAGCTGGGAAAACATATTTTCAACCATTTGAACAACAAGAGCAAAATAAAAATGAGGAACATTTACACTTGTGAGGCACTAACAAAATGGCCTGCAGTAAATACAGATCTAAGTATGTATGAGGTGTCGTACTGGTTTCCGGTGTTTTTGTATTTACCCTTTGGCTGTTGTTTTAACCAGTTAACTTTATAATTCTTCCACATCACTCTCTGCAGGAGATCTCTGGGTCAAAAGTTGGAGAAAGATATGAAAGTTGATTAATTTCAAATTCTTTATTGAATTACTGGTGTATATTGTATAATTAAAATAATATGTCTTTTAGTGCACTTATTTTGTGTAAGATTTTTTGGACATTTTTGAGTTTTACCTCGCCTGAAGTTTCTCTCATGTATCTTGCTTCCCCTTCAGCCTGTGTTGGAGAAAAAAAACGAGATTGTATTAGGTAAAATAACATTGGCACATTTGAAATAGTATATTATTAGTTTGGGAAGAAATACTTGTTTGAGTCCCTTCTTAACAACAATAAATATAAAGTATAAAATAAATCAATTACAATGATGTCGTCTCTTCCTCTAAATGTAATGTCTTCGCTGTGAAAAGTTATATTAGGAAAATAAATCAAATATTTTACCGTTGTCGTGGCTGATGATTCTACTATTGTCTGCTCTAAAAGAGACAATAAAATCACCTGTTAGTTACACACCTGTATTTCAGAAAAGACATAAATGGTTCAAGGAAGAGATCACGATATATTTACCTTGTCGTTTGGACATAAACCAGATGAACAAGTTCACCATCGCAAAGATGATCAGCAAACTCCAACGGATGATGAAGATCTTTAAGTTCCCTGAAACACTGCAGCAGGAATAAATAAATAAAAACACACAATGTAAATGACAGACTTGTTTGAACAGTCCAACAATAACGTTGGATGAAAATGTGAAGCTCTCTCACCTTTGGTGCTCAACCTCAACAGTGGAAAGTGCTTGGTCTGCAGAACTAGTGGTGTGCTTCACAGGCTCAGTGGTGTGCTTCACAGGCTCATGGGTGACAAGACTTTTTGCTGCAAAAGTGAATGTAATGACATGTGGATATAGCTTCTAGAGTAAAAGGACAATACAAAAGTATAATATTTCATTTTTATTAAATAAATAAACAAAACAAATTAACAAATTACCTTACCTAACAAATATTTAGAATAGTATATTTTTTATTTAGAAAGGCTTATAACACTTACTAGTTGTAGGTTTCTCAGTAACAGTTATGTGCACTGGCATCTGTAAGTCTCCTTTAACGCACCAATACCAGCCGCTGCTCTCTGTCCTCAGTCCGCTCATAGTCACAGTGAGAACCTGGGAATCATTCGCATTGATGGTGACTCTTGAGTTATCTAATGATCCATTCGGCCATGTCACACAGGAGCTGCCCAGCCTGCACCACTTCATTTCTCCATAGTTATAATAGTGATAATTGATGGTTATTTCCTCTCCTCTGAATCCTGTCCTCTTCTGTTCATCCACATATAGATATGGATTGCCTTAATCGGAAACATAATTCAATGGAAACTTGTAAGCAGCCTAGTTGGTGCATGCTCCTGATGTTTAAATATATATTTAATAAAATTACATCTCGTAAAAGCATTATTTGAAAAGAAGAACGATGAAGTTATTGTAAAATCGAAGTGTTGAAATGTTACAAAAGATTTGAAAAGTTAATAAATAGACTCTTACCTCCTGTGACTGACAGGTGGAAAAGTGTTCCCCAATCTGAGCCTCCATTAATATCCACAGCACACCAGTAATAACCAGTGTCCTCTTCAGTCAGATCATTTATAGTCACAGTGAAGACTCTTAGTTTTTTGTCATCAGAGATCGAAAACGTTCCTGAACTGCTTGGTTTGTTTGTTTTAACTTCATAAGAACAGAAGGCCCAAGTAGATCCTTTACACAAGTATTTCACATGGTTGCTGTACTTTGACTCATAGAGACATGGGACAGTGATCGAACCTCCAGCTCTCACTGAGACTTTACTGACTGTAGTTATGCTGTGAATTCCTGCAACAAGAGCAAATACAGCATTATAAAAGCCATATTCAATAATAATTATCCATGTTACCTTCTGACATTACCATGTGAAGCATACAATAAAATATTCACAATGATAACATTATTCTGTCACTGACCTGTGAGTCCGATCAAAATGAGAAGGAAGCCGAGATGAACAGCCATGTCAGAGTGTGAGCGGACCAAACAACATGTACGAACTGATGCTCTACTTCCTTTTTTCCTAAATATAAAATGCACCAGATCAAATATGGGTCCCTCCTACAGTAAGGAAGTTGCGTTTCATAGGTTAATTGTGTAATAATATATATAATTATTAGTGCGGTTGGAGAGTACCCTACTCTTACATAATAGCTTCGATGTAGAAAACATGAACACAACAATTCAAAAGAAAAAACCAGCATTTCAGGTTTATGGACTGAATTGTGTTAATTTATTTAAAGCATGACAGTAATAACATGAAATGATTAAAAACATTAAAAACATTTGTTTAACCCAAGTGGGTTGAGTAACGGAAATATCAAGTACCTGTCATTTTAACAATTGAAATCAGACATAGATAATAGGAATTTCCAAAGATACGGAGAGAAACAATAGGTATTATGGGTACTTTTTATGGGCAGTAAGCCTCAAAACAGATAAAGTCCAAGTCCTTTTCAAGTTATATATGTGTGACACCAAGCTAACCAGTTAAACCACTTCACACAATCACCCTGTTTATTCTTTGCATATCTGTGGTTGTATAGCCTTATGGTTTAACAAAGAGGATGTCTGACGGAGTAACACAAACCCTGTTTGAGGAACCACAGATGAGACGATACATTTGGCTGTTTCCAGTTACATTATACAATTTTGTTGCTCGAAAAGCTAAATAAAAGTGATTGTACTGTACAGTAAAGTCAACTGTCATCATTTATAGTCATTCCAGAACATGTCATATATGACATTTTAAAGTATAAAAAGTGTTAGCATATCAAACTAATTAAGGTTAAATATGAGTTTCTAATAATCTTAAAGATGGAAGTAAGAACTAATTAATTAAAGTGAGAATAACATGTAAGCAATACAGTTGAAAAACATAAAAGTGATCAATGTTGTTGTTTTTGTATGCAGGGGAGGGTTCAAAAAAAGGTGAGATGACTACAGATGAAAAAGGAGAAGGAAGAAGTTACAGCACGACCAAACAAAGCTGTCTGCTAACAGAGAGATAACGAGATTAACAGACAGACAAACATTTCAATGTTTTGTCGGTGCTGAGCCACAATATACTTTACTGTAGAATGTAGGGTAAGGTCCGGTGGATACACATGTTTTTAACAGAAGACCACCACTTTAGGATTAAGGACTGAAACATGTTCATTTCTTAAAACAATGCATTAGAAATAAATGCAAACTTTTTTTAAGTGTGTGTAAAGCACGCACCATACAGTATATACAAAAGTGGAGAGATGACACGAGTACTGCAACAATATGATTAGAAAAGTGATGTTTCAGCCAGAAGAGATACGAAGACGATGGGGATGACAACAGAAACAGGCCGATCCATTAGTGAGTTATTGTGTTTGAACAGTTTTTATTATTTCTTTGCCATTTACATATAATGATTAATTTTACATCAAACATCAGACAACAAACATCACGATAAAAGTATATATTTAGATATCAAATGTTTTGGTTCCTCCTGCAGCTTCTGACTTTTGGTCATTTTTAAGAGTTATTTTGTCAATGCCTTTGGGAAACCCCTATTGAGCTTAAGAAGGTTCATAAGATGGGTTTTGTTAGCTTGTTGACTTTAAGATGCTTGTGGGAAACTACGCCCATGTCAGTACTTGTTTGAAATGTTTTGCAGCAGTGTGGAGAAGAATCCTTTCAAAAAGAAAGACAAAACAAATGACAGCAAGTTGCAAATTGTCTAAAAAAAGACTCCAGTGATGGGTATAGATGTAGGGTAGGGGTAACATTCACAGGTTTTTCTGGTGCTAAGCCAACCTGCTGTATGTTACATCATCTTCTTCCGCTTGAATCTGTTGCCCAAGTGAAGAAAAAAATAGCATGAGGGAGGAAACATCGAAGCTACGATCAACTCATACCTTACTAACAGCTCTGTCAGGTTTTACATGGAGCTCTGAGCCAAATGCTAACAATGTGCACAATGAGAAAGCTAAATTACAAATGTTTATCAGGAATGTTTACCTGCTAACATGCTAAAAAGTTGCCAAATAGCACTATCACAGAGACAACTGAGGCTGAGGGAAATTAGCTTTCATGGTGAAATGTGGGGAAAGAATGTTAGAAAAAGTTAAGGTCTGGGTTTGAATCCCTTAAAATGTACCTTTTGTCCAGTTTGATGCTCTATAGTAACCACATCAGAGTACATCACACCAGAGTACATCACATCCACATCTCTATTAGCATCCGACCACTGTGGAAGGAAGAAGAGGCGGCCATGATGAGATCACTTGAAACATTTAACTTTTTATATTTATGATGGAATACAAGTTGGGCCTTTTGGGGTCAAGGGTCACCTTGTCTGTAGGTTGTCTTTGTTTAACATCGCTGTATGTTACTTCCTCTTCAGCACGATGAAGCTGTAAACCATCAACATGAACACTTTTTTTAGAAATCAGGAAACATTTCATAACTATTCTCCTTTTTTAGGGCAAACAGAGGATCAGTGGAATCACCATAAGAGTTTAATAAAACCTAATTGTATAATAAAAACACATATACTGTGTTCATTCTGTGGATGGTCTTGTTTTGAAATAAAAATAAAAATATTTAGCGGCAGTAATTTTCACACAGTGACTCTCTTACCTGGCCTGAAGTCTTTCTCCTTTGCTTAACAGTACTGTATGTTGCTTCCTCTTTACCCTGAAGGAGCAGAGAACAGAACATGAACGATGAATATGAACCAAAAGCTTTAATTGGTTTATTTATTTAACCTATTTCTGTGTTTCTGACCTATTGTCTTGTTAAGAAAAACACTCTTAGTAATTATCAAGATATATGTGATAAGTATCAATGCTTTTTCCCAGAGATATATTGAACTCCTGCAGCTGCAAATTCAAAGTAAAGTAAAGTTTCATATTATTTTGAATTACTGCAGTGTTTATTAGAAAAATGGCTATGATAACATAACAAAATGTATTGGGAAATGAATGATCATATCTCACCATTATTGTGGAAGAATCTCCTTTGGTCTGCTCTAAAAGTGAATCAATTATAAACTATTTTTACTTACAATAACACACAAATAGTCTGCATGATGATCGTTAATATATTGATGTTTTACAAACAATTATAATTTCGGCATAGACTTACTGTGTCTTTTGATCATTAAGCAGATGAACGAGGCAACCGGGTCCGTTACAATGAAGATCAGCGAGCTCAGCGGGATGATAAAGACCATCAAGTTTACTGAAACACTGCAGCAGATATAAATAAATTAAAGAAAAGAACAGTCCAAAAATGTAGTTGCATAAAAATGTATAGGCTTCTCACCTTTGCTGCTCAACCTCAACAGTGGAAAGTCTTTGTTCTGCAGTACTATAGGTGTGATTCACAGGTTTGGAGGTGGGTGCCAAGGTGGTTATTTGGCTTGTGGCTGCAACTGTAAATATACGGTAATTATCTTTTGAAATAAAAAATATATTTAATCTAGATTGAATAGAAAATTCTCAATTTACCTGACAAATATCTATAATTTCAAAATGACTTTTAGTACTTACTAGTTGTAGGTTTCTCAGAAACAGTTATGTGCACTGGCATCTGTAAGTCTCCTTTAACACACCGATACCAGCCGCTGCTCTCTGTCCTCAGTCCGCTCATAGCCACAGTGAGAACACCAGTGCTGCGTGCACTGATGTCGACTCTTGTTCCATCTATTGATCCAGACTTTGTCACACAGGAGCCGCCGGGCCTGCACCACTTCCTTTCTCCAGAGTTTTGATAGTGACACTTGATGTTTATGTTATCTCCTTTAAATCCTGTAATCTCTTGCTGATCCACGTAGAGACTGGATGTACTTTGATGGAGAACATCATTCATTGAAACTATTTAGCAACGTGATTAGTACATGCTGCTGATGTTTCAAATATGTTAGGCATATATTTACATCTGGTGAATACATTATTTGAGAAAATTAGGTAATTGTAATATTAAAGTGTTGATATTTCACAAAAGATTTGAAAAGGCGTAATTGGGCTCTTACCTGCAGTGACTGACAGGTGGAAATACTCTTTGAGATCTGGTCCATCTTTAATCTCCACACCACACCAGTAATACGCAGTGTCCTTATCAGTCAGGTCATTTATAGTCACAGTGAAGACTCTTTGTCTTTTGTCATCAGAGATAAAAAGCTTTCCTGAACTGCTTGGTGTGTTTGTTTTAACCTCATATGAGCAAGAGGACCAAATATATCCTTTACACAAGTATTTCACATGGTTTGTGTACTTTGACTCATACAGACATGGGATAGTGATCGAACCTCCAGCTCTCACTGACACTTTACTGACTGTAGTTATTCTGTGAATTCCTGCAACAAGAGCAAATACAACATTAGTTGAGTAAAAATGTTATAGTGCTTTTTCAGATTGTTCAGATACTCCTTCTGTCATGGTTTTGGATTTATGTTTTCATTTTCCACCTTTTATTTTGAAATGTTTTCCTCCTTGTGTCTTGTCTGGTCCTACTTCCTGTGTTTGCCTTCCTGTCGTTAGTTTCCCTGGTGTCTGATTGTCTGATTGTGTTCACCTGTTGCCCTTGTGTTTCTGCCTCCCCTGCCCAGCTGTGTCTTGTCCTGTGATTACCCTTCTGTGTATATAGGCTGCGTTTCACTTCGGTTAAATGGATTCCTTGCGTCCCTCACTTGCGTCGTTTCCCTGCGACTAGTCCCTCCCACCAGGGAAGCATGGAGAGACGCAAGGAAACCACGAGAAGCAGGGAAATGAGTTTTAAGAGCAATGGGACGTCCTTTCCTCCGGAGCGTCACGTGAAGCGACGTCCGTTTGTGATGACGCCGCACAGCTGATCGTCTGACAGCAGCCAGCTCTGTCCCCGTTATTTTCACAAACACCCCCGCCTCTGTTAGTACACATTTACTGACACAAACATTTGTATCATCTGTTGTAGACCCAAATAAATAAAATCAAATAAGAACTAATTCTCAAAAAAGATAAACGCCATTCTTAAAATGTATAAACGAATATTAGTTTGATTAATATTGATTAGAGTGCACAATAGACATAAAATAATTGAGAGAAGAAAAAGAGATATGTTATCTATCAAAACCCAGTTAGATGAACATTCATTGGATTGCACACTTAGTTTGTTTGTGTGGATATGTAGCAAATTAACATGTTAAATAGCACTTAATGACTGACTGAATGGAAATGACAATAAATGAAAATGTAAAACGAAAAAAGCGATCACGAAAATGTTTCCAATAAATGAATGAAATGATTTTTGTCCACTTTGTTGTTCAGATATATCACATATTTGTAACTGAATGATGCATTAATTGAAACAAAACACGGTATAAACTGAGGAGTGAGTCCCGTGAGTTTCATGTGTTTTCTTCACTCCGCTGGGAAACTGCTCTCATGTCAAGAAGCATCAGATCATTGCATGCGCTGCATCGTCCAATCAGTGAGCGATACACAGTAAGGGGGCGGGGCGAGTGTCTGAGGATTTCATCGAAGGATGGTCTGGTGGTTCCTCGATTATAGCTCCTCCATTATCGCTCCTCGCTCCTCGATCCTCGGTCCTCCGGCAAAAATAAGGCCATTGGGACGCTACTCAAGATGGCGCAGACAAATCAACTTCCGGTGAGACCGAGACCGAGGAGCGAGGAAATGAAAAATAAGAGAAGTGAAACGCAGCCTTAGTCTTGTCTTCCCCTGCTGTGCTCCATGTCTGTTCGTCTTCTCTTAATGTCTATGATACCTGTCTGTCTCTTCATGTCCATGTTCCCTGCCTTGTCTATGCTCGTCTGCTTGTCCATGTCACCTGCCTGTTCCCGTCTGTAAGTTTGTTCTTGTCGTGTTCCCCGGTTTTGTTTTTGATAAGTAGTTTCTTGTTTTTCCCTGTCTTCGGCTTTTTTTAATAAAGGTCGCTTTATGTTACCAAACCTTTTTTGCACTTGGGTCCTATTTTTCCCCAAACCTGACAGTTTCAGATGACCATTGTAAAAGTGAATAATGTTGTTTTCCACATAAGGCCATAGTAGCTTAACTGGAGGGTATAACTTACTTAACTGACATGTTGGATAGAAGAAATACTGTATACAAATTTAAATAAAGTCTTGTGACCAACCTTTTAGTCCAGCGAAGAGGAGAAGAAAGCTCAGTTGAACTGTCATGTTGGCAAATGGGCAGGAAACCACTTGAACCCAAACACTGGCAGACTGATTCTTTAGTTCCTTTTTTTTCTATGTTTTGTTTGTGATATATACTCTATATGCAGTTTGTTTTGCTACCACAGAGCACACATCACTCTGAGGCCTCCTTCACACGGGAACGTTTGCGTTTATGCACAGTATGCATATTCAAAAAAGTCTTCCGTACACATGCATTCGTTTCATTTAACGTGTCTGTTCAAACGAGACCGCTGGAAACGCTGTAGTACATATGCCGGGACTGAAAGTGGCGCTGTAACTTCCGCCAAAATACACCAAAAGCAGCGAAGAAGAGCAGCCTGGAGCAGCCCCGCAGCAATGTTGCCATGGCTACCCTTCTGTTTATGCCCCGCGGTGTATTTAGCAACATGTAGTTCATGTAATTCTCCATGTCCACTTGTTGCTGATGGTGGTGGTAGAGGAGCTGTAGATTTTGCACTAATATCTGTAGCATGGTCAGTAGCAGTAGCACTAGCAGTAGCTACTGACAGGAGGAAGTGTGTGTGGCGATTGCTGGTATTCAGCGGGATATAGTCATTTCCTCAGCATGTAAATATATGGATAAATGCAACGGGGAAGTTAACTGAAAGAAACCGAATCTGTGGATATTGCATCGACCGACGAAGAAGCACGTCTCCGTGGAGAGGACGCGCTCAGAAAGAGAGATATTCTCTACAAACACCGGGTGAGATCGCTCCTCTGGGACACGCCGGTCCTCTGCCTACAAACAGGCGCAGGAGCAATGAACAATAATGGCCTGGATTAGGCAGTAAAGACAAGTTTGGTGTATCGCAGAGCGGACTTTTTAATTTTGTTTGTGTTGTTTGGCTGGAAAATTGTCAATATAATGGATCAATGCATGAAATCTGACTCTGTTTATTTTGTTTAAGGAGTTAACAATTCTGGTTTGCCTTTTATAATATTATTTCATTCAAGAACCCCTTGTGCGTTTAATTAACACAGCTATTTTTGATAGTTGCTACAGCAGTGAGCGGGAGAGGTGGGGAGAGGCGGGGCTATCGTTATTTTTTCAGGAAATATTCGTATCGAGGTGATTACACGGACTCGGTTGACCCCCCAGAGCGTTTCGTTTGCAAATCTATCCACCTTGGGACCCGTTATCGTTTGTGGGGTCAGTTTCTATCGGCCTCGTGTAAATAATAGGGCTATACGCACGCAAAACTATGCAGATACAAGCAGTTTTCTCCTCGTGTAAACGGCGCCTTAGCATCTGACATCCTACACACATCAAACAGATGAATGGAACGGATTTGTTTAATTCAGTTACAAATGTGTACAGTGAAATAATAAAAGCTAGAATACTTATGTGTCTTTTTATATTGTCTATTACATAGTTTGCTATTTGCTTAGTTTTCCCCACATGCCTAACATTGCTGTGTTTGGCGTCCTCTTCAGTCAGAGGAAGATTCAAACCAAAAGTTTTTTTAAATAAAAATGATGTGTAATCGACCAGATCTGATGAGATTTAATGCATGGTCATCTTTATTAGTACAAGCAAAACATTTTATGAATACTTTATCTGTAAGGCCGGATCAGAGGATTTACAATTAGAGTTCACTAGATAACAATGCCTCTCTAGTGCACTTTTACAATATCATTTACTGTAGACTTTGGGACAAGGTCCACATTTCTAAACAAAATAATAGCACTTCAGGCATATGGACTGAAATGTGTTCATTTATTTAAAACTTTAAACCACGACAACCATTTGAAGTATGTGTCAAACACGCACAGTGCATACAAAGTGGAGAGATAATATTAACACTACATGTGCCATCAGAAAGTTGATGTTTCAAACAGTTAAATATAGAAGAAGAAGACAAGGAGGATGGCAGAAACTGAAATATCAACTTGTGATTTATTGCATTTTAATGTTTATTTTAGTTGACTTATTTTTTATTTTAAACATTATAATTCATGTTCCATCAAACATTAAACAACAAAAAAACATAATACAAGACATAAATGAACAAACATAATTAAACAAAACCTGTAAGATTTGTTCGGTTCCTCCTGAATGTTCAGGAGCTTGGTCATTTTGTCAGAGTGTAGAAAGCTTTTGTCAATGCATAAAATCTCTTGAGCTTAAGGATATGAATGAGAAAAAAAGAAAGCGGTTTCTGCAAAGCCAAAGATCAGATGTCGGCACGTTGTATTTGGTGTCTACATACGCCGGGATCCGGAGTCATGGCTAATCCTGTTGCTGTGGTCCTGAGTCCTGGATCGCGAGCCCTGGATCTTGAGTCGTGGCTGTGCCTATTGCTGTGGTCCTGGATCATAAGTCCTGGATGGATATCCTCGTGGATTCATCTTATTATAGACACATGCATTTCCAAACATTTGGACTACCTATGTTGGAAATGTATTATCTTTTCAATTTACACACGGCATCTATTGCACGTCTGTCCGTCCTGGGAGAGGGATCCCTCCTCTGTTGCTCTACCTGAGGTTTCTCCCATTTCTCCCTTTAAACTGTGGGTTTTCTTCGGAAGTTTTTCCTTGTACGATGTGAGGGTCTAAGGACAGAGGGTGTCTTATTGTCATACTGATATTCTGTACAAACTGTGAAGTCCACTGAGACAACTGTAACATTTGTGATATTGGGCTATATAAATAAACATTGATTGATTGATTGATTGCAAGACTGTCATCTAAAAAAAAGCCTCCAACGTTGGGTACAGATGTAGGGTAGGGGTAACATTCACAGGTTTTTCTGGTGCTAAGCCAACCTGCTTTATGTTACATCATCTTCTTCCGCTTGAATCTGTTGCATAAGTGAAGAAAAAATGACATTAGGGAGGAAAGATCAAAGATGAAAATGACTTTTGCCACACTAACAGCTCTAACAGGCTGGACACAATGCTTTGAGCTAAATGCTAACGTTACATTGTCCTGACAATGTCAACAAAGGCTGAAGTATTAATGTTTAGCAGGACTGTTTACCATGTTCATAATCTTAGTTTAGCCAGTATCAATGCCAACATTTGCTAACACAAATCCAAAAGGATAACCGAGGCTGATGGAAATGATCTTTCATAGTATTTGGTCATTATCAACAAACTACATTTCTGACCTGATTATAGCGCTATATGAAAATGTAAGGATACATTATTTGGACACCAGGACCATCTGTACCAAATTGTTTAATGACCCATCCAACAGAACAGACAGAAATCGGCATCAATATATAGACACGCTTCTATTTTGCCTTCAAAATGTGGGGTAAAAGCTTCACTATTAGCATAGAATACAACATTTAAATTAAAATGTACCATTTGTTTAGTTTGACGTTCTACAGCGACCACAGAGGAGTACATCACGTCCACATCTCTATTAGCTTCTGACCACTGTGGAAGAAAGAAGAGACGGACACGATCAGATCGATTTAACAATTTAACTTTTGACATTGCTTCATAAAAACAAATGTTTATGATGAAATAATAAATGCTGCCTGAGAGAACTTATCTTTCTACTTCTGTAATCCTGTTGTGAAATGCAAGTTGTGGTTTTATTGCTTAAGGGTTACCTTTTCTGAAGCTCTTCTCATGTGTTTAACATCGCTGTATGTTACTTCCTCTTCAGCGAGACCAAGCTGCAAACCATCAACTTGAACATGAACAATTCTTCCTTTTTAGGGTAAACAGCTGATCATTTGAATCACCATAAGAGTTTACCCAAAACCTAATTCTAAATAGTTTTTGTATTCAAATTTGTAATGTTCTGTGCCAATCATTTTACACAGTGTCTTACCTGACCTGTCTTTCTCTTTTTCTTGACAGTACTGTATGTTACTTCTGCATTAGACTGTGTTAAAAGAGCAAAGGACAGAATTTGAACGACAAAATATAAACCAAAAGCCTAATGTTCAATTGTTTAATGATCCATCCAACAGAACAGACAACAATGGCCACCCATATATAGACACGCTTCTATTTTGCCTTCAAAATATGGGGTAAAAGCTTCACTATTACCATAGAATACAACATTCAAATTAAAATGTACCCTTTGTTTAGTTTGACGTTCTACAGCGACCACAGAGGAGTACATCACGTCCACATCTCTATTAGCTTCTGACCACTGTGGAAGAAAGAAGAGACAGACTCGATCAGATCAATTTAACAATTTAACTTTAGATTTTGCTTCATATAAACAAATGTTTATGATGAAATAATAAATGCTGCCTGAGAGAACTTATCTTTCTACTTCTGTAATCCTGTTGTGAAATGCAAGTTGTGGTTTTATTGCTTAAGGGTTACCTTTTCTGAAGCTCTTCTCATGTGTTTAACATCGCTGTATGTTACTTCCTCTTCAGCGAGACCAAGCTGCAAACCATCAACTTGAAAATAAACAATTCTTCCTTTTTAGGGCAAACAGATGATCATTTGAATCACCATAAGAGTTTACCCAAAATCTAATTCTAAATAGTTTTTTTATTCAAATTTGTAATGTTCTGTGCCAATCATTTTACACAGTGTCTTACCCGACCTGTCTTTCTCTTTTTCTTGACAGTACTGTATGTTACTTCCGCATTAGACTGTGTTAAAAGAGCAAAGGACAGAATTTGAACGGCAAATATGAACCAAAAGCCTAATGTTCAATTGTCCTTTTACAAAGAAGAAAATAGTATGAATAAGAATAAGAGTAAGGGTATTAGTAATTATGACAATAAACATCATATGTAATAAGTATTAATGTGCTGTCTACAGTGATTCATTGTAGCTTCAAAGGGGCAGTACAGTAAAGTCTTATTTTATCTAGAATTACTGCAGTGTGAAATTATGTTAATACCAATTTCCTTTCTTGTAAGATATTGTATTTGGAAAATAATTATCTATAATATCTTACAATTATTGTGGCTGGGGATTCTTCTTTGGTCTGTCCTAAAAGTGAAGCAATACAAAATATTGTTAGTGACAATAATGCACAGTTACCTGAATTAATAGTAAATATATTTATGATTAACACACAATAATAAAAATGCTATTATTTGGATTGAGCATAATTCGGCATAGACTTACTGTGCTTTTTGAACATAAACCAGATAAACATGGCCACCATAACAATGAAGATCAGCAAACTCAAAGGGATGATGAAGCTCTTTAAGTTCCCTGAAACACTGCGGCAGGAATAAATAAATAAAAAACACAATGTAAATGACACATTTGTATAAACAGTCAACATTTGCATGATTCAAGAAAGTCTCTCACCTTTGCTGTTTTCCCTCGACAGTGGAAAGTGCTTGGTCTGCAGAACTAGAGGTTTGCTTCACAGGCTCAGAGGTGGCAGGACTTGTTGCTGCAAAGGTGAATGTCATGACATGTGGATATAGCTTTTAGAGTAAAATGACATTAATAATTGCTAAGATTTCAATTTTATTAAATAAATAAATTACAAATTACTTTACACAACAAATATTAAAAATGTTATATTTTGAAATTAAGAATGACTTATAACACTTACTAGTTGTAGGTTTCTCAGTAACAGTTATGTGCACTGGCATCTGTAAGTCTCCTTTAATGCACAAATACCAGCCGCTGCTCTCTGTCCTCAGTCCTCTCAGAGTCACAGTGAAAACACCAGGGACATTATTCATGGTGACTCTTGAGTTATCTAATGATCCATTCGGCCATGTCACACAGGAGCTGCCCAGCCTGCACCACTTTATTTCTCCAGGGTTATGATAGTGACAATCGATGGTTATTTCCTCTCCTCTGAATCCTGTCCTCTTCTGTTCATCCACATATAGATATGGATTGCCTTTATCGGAAACATAATTCAATGGGAACTTGTAAGCAGCCTAGTCGGTACGTGCTCCTGATGTTTAAATATATATTTAATAAAATTACATCTCGTAAAATCATTATTTGAAAAGAAGAACGATGAAGTTATTGTAAAATCGAAGTGTTGAAATGTTACAAAAGATTAAAAAAGTTAATAAATAGACTCTTACCTTTGTTGACTGACAGGTGGAAAAACTTTCCCCAATCTGGTCCATCTTTAATCTCCACAGCACACCAGTAATCACCAGTGTCCTCTCCAGTCAGATCATTTATAGTCACAGTGAAGACTCTTTGTTTTTTGTCATCAGAGGTCGAAAACTTTCCTGAACTGCTTGGTTTGTTTGTTTTCACTTTATCAGAACAGAAGGCCCAAGTAGATCCTTTACACAAGTATTTCACATGGTTTGTGTACTCTGACTCATAGAGACACGGGATGGTGATCGAACCTCCAGCTCTCACTGACACTTTACTGACTGTAGTTAAGCTGTGAATTCCTGCAACAAAAGCAAACCCAACATTATAAAAAGATAAATAAAAAATGATCAATACTCTTCCTTTAGATGGCCTAAATAATGTTGATGTTCAAATTAGCTCATGTTTAAAAAATAATTACATCATTAAAGCCTTCAAAATATTAGAAATTCACTCTAGCATACACATAAAAGATGTTTTTAAGTCTTGAGTCTTGTGCCTGACCTGTAAGTCCAGTGAAGATGAGAAGAAAGCTCAGTTGAACCGTCATGTCTGGGAGTGAGTGAGTCAAGCTAAACCACATGAACCCTATCACTGACAGACTGAGTCTTTACTTCCTTTTTTGCAACTCTTAATATATTCCCTCCTCCTCCTCCTCCTCCTCCTGTAAGACTGTCACAATTGTTAAATAATTTATATTCTGTATATAAACAAGAGTTTGCTGTTTTACCACAGCTCAATTTAACAGTTTTGCTTAATTTAATTACAAATGTATATGGTATATAACACTTGCTATTTAAGTGTATGTATTTTGTATGTACAGTACTTGTATATTATAATACAATACATGTTTTTTTATTTAGGGTTACCTCATCTGCAGTTTTCTCACATGCTTAACATTTATATATTTAACTTTCTCTTCAGTCTGATAACGATTCAAGCCAAATGTTTTTAAATTTTTTATAAAATCGATGTATAGTAAACCAGATCTGATTAGATACCATGTGGACATCTTTGGGAATATAGAAAGCATGAAGCACTTCTTATAAGTACTACCTTTGTTAGGCGTACACGATCAGAGGAATTACCATGAAGGTTTACTAATATCTATGCATAGTACTCTTTTAAAGTATAATTTACTGTAGACTTTGGGGGAAGGTCCAGAGGTTACACATGTTTTAAACAAGAGACCATCAGTGACTAAAACATGTTTTTTAATTAAAACATTACACTACAAGTCATTGCAAACTTTAAGCCATTCAATTAAAAATACAAAATAATAAAGCTTCAAATATAAGGTGTTATGTACATGTACATAAAAACACGTTTTCCATTTAAAAACCTGTGTTTCAGTAAACAAAGTGTAGACACATGCAAACTTAAGAATGTCATCTTTCATCGATTAACCTGCTGTCAAGGAGTGAACTCTGAGGCATGAACTCAAATGCACGACTCGAAACCAGACTCAGGAGAGGTTCAAAATAAAGACTTTACTGGATTTTACACAGTAACAAAACAGGGAAAACAATAACTCTCTTTCGAGGAAAAACAATGACAATAACTTTGAAGCTTAGAGATACGTAACACGTCTGTGGAGTACGCTTGCTCAAAGTCCTGAATGAGGAAACGAACCGACAATGGACAGGAGGGAACTAGCAGAATATATACACAGGGTAAATGGGAACAGGTGGAAACAATCAGGGCGGGGAAAACAATCACAGACGCAGGAGACAGAAGGGGGCGGGGAGCGTGGAGGTCTGAAATGAGAGGGAGAATTACTATTCCACATAACATAAAGCACCGGACAGAAAGACCTGACAAAAACTAACATAAAGAATAAACTTTCACAATAAGTTTCTTGGCCATGACAGTACCCCCCTTCTAGGGACGGCTCCTGACGGCCCAGGCTCCTCCGAGTTGAGGCGGTCAAAATCCTCAATGAGGCTCTTATCGATGATGAAACGGGAAGGAATCCATGACCGCTCCTCAAGGCCGTAACCCTTCCAGTCAACAAGGAGCTGTCGCCCTCTACCCCGTTTCCTAGCAGCCAAGAGTGTCTTGACTGTATAGACTGGACCTCCATCGATCATCCTGGGAGGCGGGGGGGGTTTGGCGGTGGGAACCATGGCGCTCTCCTTCAGGGGTTTCAATTTCCCCACATGGAAGGTGGGATGTACCTTCATGGACCTGGGAAGCCGTAGTCTCACTGAAACCGGGTTTATGACCTTGGTGATGGGAAAAGGACCCACAAACCGGGGAGCCAACTTGCGGGAGAGTAAGTGGAGGGGAAGGTCCCGCGTAGAAAGCCAGACTTTTTGGCCTGGCTGGTATACAGGAGCTGGTCGGCGTCTTCGGTCTGCTGCTCGTTTTACCAGCAGAGGATTTTTCTTGCCGCAGCCCACACGCGATGACAACGCCTGACCATAGCGTGGGCAGACGGAACCGTGACCTCTTTCTCCGTGGCTGAGAACAGTGGCGGCTGGTACCCATAAACACAATGAAACGGGGACAATCCCGTGGCAGATGTGGGAAGGATGTTGTGCGCATACTCCACCCAGGTGAGGTGCTCGCTCCAGGAGGATGGATTCTGGGACACCAGGCAGCGCAAGCAAGTCTCCAGTTCCTGATTCAGGCGCTCTGTCTGGCCGTTTGACTCCGGGTGGTATCCAGACGAGAGACTGACCGTGGCACCGATGAGTCTGCAGAACTCCTTCCAGAAACGAGACACAAACTGGGGCCCCCGATCGGAGACAATATCCTTAGGGAAACCATGCAGACGAAAAACATTATGCATCATGACCTCAGCCATCTCCTTAGCTGAGGGCAATTTGGGCAGAGCAATGAAATGTGTCATTTTGGAAAAACGGTCCACTACCGTGAGAACTGTGGTGTTACCTCTAGAGAGGGGCAGGCCTGTGACGAAGTCCATAGAAATCTCTGACCAGGGTCTGTTGGGAATAGGAAGTGGTTGTAACAAACCCATCCGCGCCCTGGAAGAGGTCTTATTGCGAGCGCAGACAGGGCACGCCTCCACATACTCCTTCACCTCCTTCTCCATGGATGTCCACCAGAAACGTTGTTTAATAATGAACATGGTTCTCTTGACTCCGGGGTGACAGGTGAGTAGCGAGGTGAGTAGCGACGTGTGAGTAGCGACGTGTGAGCCCAGTGGATCACCTGTGGTCGCGCGGCTTCTTGAACGAATAGCCGGTTAGGCGGGCAACCCCTGGGTGCAGGAGCTCCCCCGTTGGCTCGTATCACCTCCTTCTCCACTTGCCAAGTCAGTGCTCCTACCACACGGTTTAACGGAATGATGGGTTCCGGCTCCTTGACTGAAGGCACAGGGTCAAACAGACGGGACAGAGCGTCAGGCTTGACATTCTGAGACCCCGGCCTGTAAGAGAGAACAAAGTCAAACCGGTTAAAAAACAAAGTCCACCTGGCCTGGCGGGAGTTCAGTCTTTTGGCCTTCTTTATATATTCCAGATTTTTGTGATCAGTCCAGACCACAAAAGGATGCTCGGCTCCCTCCAACCAATGCCTCCACTCTTCCAACGCTAGCTTCACAGCCAGCAACTCACGGTTTCCCACATCGTAATTCCTCTCTGCCGGGGAGAGCTTCCTGGACAGGAAAGCGCAGGGGTGAAGCTTATTGTCCTTCTGTTGGCGCTGGGAGAGTACCGCTCCCACCCCCTCGTTGGAGGCATCCACTTCCACCACAAACTGGCGAGTGGGATCCGGCAGAGTAAGTATGGGAGCAGAGGTGAACATCTTCTTGAGTCGAGAAAAAGCCTCCTCAGCCTGAGGAGACCACACAAAAAGCACCTGGGGGGACGTGAGGACATGAAGAGGGGCTGCAATAGAACTGAAGCTCCGCACAAAACGCCTGTAAAAATTAGCAAAGCCTAAAAACTGTTGCACTTTCTTACGAGAGTCAGGGGTAGGCCAGCAGGCTACTGCGCTAACCTTCACTGGGTCCATCCTAACCTGACCTGGGGAAATGATAAAGCCCAAAAAAGTGACTGTCTTGACATGAAATTCGCACTTTTCGGCTTTAACAAACAACATATTTAGGAGCAGTTTCTGTAGAACCTGGCGGACATGTTGTTTGTGGGTGTCAAGGTCAGGGGAGTAGATCAGAATGTCATCCAGATAGACAAAAACGAACCGGTTCAGAAACTCCCTCAACACATCGTTGATCATAGCCTGGAAAACTGCAGGAGCGTTTGACAGTCCAAACGGCATGACGAGGTATTCATAGTGGCCTGAAGGAGTGTTAAACCCCGTCTTCCATTCATCGCCCTCCCTGATCCTGACCAAATGGTAGGCGTTACGCAGGTCTAACTTGGTGAAAACCTTGGCATCCTGAAGCTGCTCGAAAGCGGACGAGATGAGAGGAAGGGGGTACCGGTTTTTAACCGTAATGTCATTGAGAGGTGAGTAGTCAATACAAGGCCTAAGAGACCCATCCTTTTTGCCAACAAAAAAAAAAACCTGCACCTGCTGGGGATGAGGAAGGACGAATAAGCCCTGTTTTGAGAGAGGCATCAATGTAATCCTTCATGGCCTCTTTCTCCGGTCCTGAAATTGCATAAAGTCGACCCTTAGGAATGGGAGACCCAGCAATCAAGTCAATAGCACAGTCATAGGGGCGGTGAGGAGGAAGAGCCAGAGCCTTGGACTTACTAAAAACTTCACTCAGATCGTGATAACAGGAAGGGACTGAAAGTACATCAGGAAGATATATTTTAGAGATAGTATCCTGTCTAACACTCCCAGTGTTACATCTCCTGTCAATCTCTGCAACCGGTCTTAAACAGTGATCAACGCAAGTCTGTCCCCACCCCTCCACCCTCCCAGAGTGCCAATCTATGTGAGGGTTATGAAGTTTCAACCAGGGAAACCCCAATATGAGAGGATGTTGGGCTGAGTTGAATAAGTGAAATGACATTGTCTCGTGATGGTTATCATTACATCTTATTTCTAAAGGCTCTGTTTGGTGAGTCACTTTGAACAACAGCCGTCCATCAAGAGCACTTGCTTCAAGAGGCTGGGGTAGAGGTTTAGTTTTTATGTTCATTTTATTTACTAAACCACAATCCATTAGACTTTCGTCTGCCCCTGAGTCAATAAGAGCACCATGAGTAAAAACATTGTCTCTGATTTTTACCTGGATGCGAGTCAGGGTGCGAGGAGGAAAATCAGAGGAAGAGATTCGGCTCCCCAACGTCCTCCTCTTAATTGATGAGCCTTTCTCTTTTACCGGACAAGCAGCTTGTGGATGTCCGCGCTGACCGCAGTAGAAGCACAGACCCTCCTTTAACCGACGCTGACGTTCTGCCATAGACAGCTTAGCACGGCCCAACTGCATTGGCTCCTCCACGGAGCCAGGGGGCGCTGATGTCTGGAACGCAGGTGGTGAGGGGTGACGGGGCCTCCAAGAAGAAGTGGAATCCGGCGGCGAGCGTCTCCTCTGGAGAGACGGACCAACCGCATCCTTGAATTTATTCCTTCTCCTCTCTGCCAAACGATTGTCTATTCTTATTGCCATGGATATGACGGAGTCCAAGTCAGCGGGCAGATCCAGAGGCGCCAGCTGGTCTTGTAGAGGATCCGAGAGACCGCTGACGAATGCGTCAAACAATGCAGCGGAGTTCCAGCCGCTGTCGGCTGCAATAGTCCGGAACTCGATAGCGTAGTCAGCCACACTACGCTGATTTTGCCGCAGTTTGAGACACGATGAGAAAAGTTTTTCTCATCGTGTCTATGAAGTCGTCCAGAGACCCGCAGATGGGAGAGCCTCGGGACCACTCTGCCGTAGCCCACGCTGCTGCTCGACCGGAGAGATGGGAGATCATGAAAGCCACTTTGGAGTCATCCGTGGGAAAAGCAGCCGGTTGGTGTCGATAGTGTAACTCACACTGTACGATGAACGGCCGGCAGCCTTCCGAACTCCCGGAATACCTCTCGGGTGGAGCCAGACGCATGGAAGGAATATGCGACTCCGTAGCCGGGTTGGGGTCGGATCTGGTCGCCGCTGGAACCGGAGGAGAAGCAGCCTGCAGGTGAGTGAGCACACGCTGAACCTCAGCTGCCAGCAGATTCACCTGAGTAGTCACCGATGATTGTAATTCCGCCTGACTGCTGGTTAGGTGCTGCACTCCGTGCTGTATGCCGGCCATCTGGTCCTCTTGTTGCCCAAGACGTTGGCCCTGAGAACGGATGGCGTTCTTGAGTTGGTCTGAGTCGGCTGAGTTCATTTTAATGGTCGGTTCGTACTGTCAAGGAGTGAACTCTGAGGCATGAACTCAAATGCACGACTCGAAACCAGACTCAGGAGAGGTTCAAAATAAAGACTTTACTGGATTTTACACAGTAACAAAACAGGGAAAACAATAACTCTCTTTCGAGGAAAAACAATGACAATAACTTTGAAGCTTAGAGATACGTAACACGTCTGTGGAGTACGCTTGCTCAAAGTCCTGAATGAGGAAACGAACCGACAATGGACAGGAGGGAACTAGCAGAATATATACACAGGGTAAATGGGAACAGGTGGAAACAATCAGGGCGGGGAAAACAATCACAGACGCAGGAGACAGAAGGGGGCGGGGAGCGTGGAGGTCTGAAATGAGAGGGAGAATTACTATTCCACATAACATAAAGCACCGGACAGAAAGACCTGACAAAAACTAACATAAAGAATAAACTTTCACAATAAGTTTCTTGGCCATGACACCTGCTGCTTAAAGCGGACATCAACCTTAAGCATTTTGAACAAGAAACAGAGCAGTTCTTATAATCTTTTGAATGTACAAGTCACCTATTGGTGAATGTCTTTCTTCTATATTGAACCTCAAAGCATGTGTCAAATAAATAAATAAATGAAAAGACAATTTAGAAACAGCAAAACTGACATTATGAAAGTGACATTTCAGTCAGAGCAGATGATTAGACAAGCAGTTGTTGAATTATTCTGGTTGCATGTTTAATTTGTTGTTATTTAATATCATTAATTTTACACCAAACATCACATAACAAACATTATGGTAAAATAAATGTTTTTTGGTTCTGAAACATCATTTGTTGAAGAGTGTAGAAAGCTTTTGTTAATGCATAAGTAAGGTTTGTTGGATGGATTTCATAAAAACAAACCTGACTCTTGAATTGAAGGTGATTGTGGGAAACTAGGCCCAAGTCAGTACTTTTGAAACATATGTTGCAGCTTTGAAGAGGAGATAACTAAAAGCAGAAGGTGCAAACCCTCAAAAAAAGAAGTAAGAGGTTTCTGCCAAACCAAAGAGCAGATGATAACAAGCAGCAACAACGTCATCACAAAACAAAATACAGAACAGAATACAACATTTAATACCTGAAGAAATATCAAACATAAACCTACTTATTCAATACTAGCAGCTGAAAAATTGAAAGTTGATTATATTGAAAGATAATTAATCTCAAATTATTTGTTGAATTACTTGTGTATATTTTATGATTATAATAAATTAACCTATGAGCCTTTTAGTGCGCTCTTTTTGTGCTGTACGAGTTATGGTTTTAATGGTTAAGGGTTACCTCGTCTGAAGATGTTCTCACATATCTTACTTCCCCTTCAGCCTGTGTTGGAGAAAAGAGAACGTCATTTACAGATGAGCTATTAGCTATATAGATTTAATCAACAAAGCAAGTGTTAAAGTACTCTATTATAGGTTTGTGAGGACATACTTATTTGAGTTCAAATTGTTTTTACTGTACCTTCTTAATAACAATAAATATAAAGTATAAAATCAATCGATCACAATGATGTCGTCTCTTCCTCTAAATGTAATGTCTTCGCAGTGAAATGTTATATTAGGAAAATAAATCAAGTCTTTTACCGTTGTTGTGGCTGATGATTCTACTATTGTCTGCTCTAAAAGAGACATAAAAGCACCTGTTAGTTACACACCTGTATTTCAGAAAAATACATACATGGTTCAAGAAAGAGTTCACGATATATTTACCTTGTCGTTTACATAAACCAGATGAACAAGTTCACCATCGCAAAGATGATCAGCAAACTCCAACGGATGATGAAGCTCTTTAAGTTCCCTGAAACACTGCAGCAGGAATAAATAAATAAAAACACATAATGCAAATGACAGATTACGAGAAGGTCTCTCACCTTTGCTGTTTACCCTCGACAGTGGAAAGTGGTTGGTCTGCAGAACTAGGGGTGTGCTTCACAGGCTCAGGGGTGGTATGACTTGTTGCTGCAAAAGTGAATGTAATGACATTTGGATATAGCTATTAGAGTAAAATGACAACAATAATTGTTAAGATTTCAATGTTATTAAATAAATAAATTGAAAATGACTTTACCCAACAAATATTAAAACATGCTATATTTTGAAATTAAGAAACACTTTTAACACTTACTAGTGGGGGGTTTCTCAGTAACAGTTATGTGCACTGGCATCTGTAAGTCTCCTTTAACACACAAATACCAGCCGCTGCTCTCTGTCCTCAGTCCGCTCATAGTCACAGTGAGAACATAGGAATCAATGACTTTGATGGTGACTGTTGAGTTATCTAACGATCCATTCGGCCATGTCACACAGGAGCTGTTCAGCCTGCACCACTTCCATTCTCCAACGTTATGATAGTGATAATTGATGGTTATTTCTTCTCCACTGAATCCTGTCCTCTTCTGTTCATCCACATATATATATGGTTTGCCTTAATCGCAGGGGCGGATCTAGACAAATATTTATGGGGTGGCAAGAGGGTGGCAGGAGATTTTGAGGGGTGGCATCCCCTGGCAGAAGTATATGCTGATTTAATCGCAGTCATATCAATCAATGTTAACTTGGAAAGCCACACTATTAATATTTTAACTCAATAACATAAGTGACATTATTGTGGCACATCAGTAAAGCCTTACATATAAATATATAAAGGTGGCAGACATAATTTAATGAATTTTAACTGAACAATAACTGAATGAGTTTGTTTCACTCTTAGACCAGCAGAGTAACACATCTATGAAGACTGCTGCAATAAGTACATTAATTAACTGTCTCATCAATGTTTGTCTGTATGAATATGATACTATTAACAATCATATTATTCCTATCAGCTGTCAATCACTGTTATGATTCACATATTCATTTATTATTGAATAAACTATATTTTTTGGAGGAGTTAATGATGAATGTTCCTCAAGATGCTTGCTCACCCTCCTTCAAATTTGAAAGACAAGTAATTACTATCATATTGTATCAAAATTCAAAAGATTCAAAGGAACAATTCAGCACCCCACAACTTTACTGCAAACAGTTACAACCTTGACTTTACATCAGAAAGAACAAACATTAAAGAAGTGACTAACTGCATCAGTTAGGGTTAAAAAACATGTATTCAGCTAAAACATATACATCGCTGCAGTTATTATCCAGTGGAAAGTCCTTACCTACTGGCCTAGTTAAATCAAAGTGGTTACTTTTTTTTGGCTGGGCAGTGTAGGTTTACACACCGTCTTATTTGACTTTCTCAGGACTTAAAACAGTTTTTTGGGGGCAGACCCCCACAAAGAAAAAATATATATACACATACAAGGTCATCATCTTAACAGTTTGCGGTGATTACCATGTTGTTCAGCAAAACGCCTCACAAACTTATTAAGATCCAAAGCTTTAGTGCATTTTGATTCAACGCTGAGTACAGCCAAACTTGACAGTCTCTTCTCTGTCATTGTAGACTGCAAATACCTCATTCCTTCCGTCTACTTGGATCCGAATGCTTCTCGTTATGCGCCGTCCCGTTCAAATGAAATCGCCGCCAATCATATTTCCAAGCTCGCGCCAGGGCCGGGGGAGGGGTTATGCTGCGTTCACACCGGACGCGATGCGATGTTTGGGGGTGGCACGATTACATGCAGAGACGCGGACAGACGCAAATTTGCTCCGACGGCGAGCATGAAGTGGTGGGCGCAAATTCCGCGGCGCGATTGAGGCGATTGAAGGGGGCTGCAATAAACGCTCGAGTTCAATTTTTTCAACTCGAGCGTCATATTCGCGTGACGCAATTTTGCGGTAGCCAATCAGCGGTGAGGATCTCAGCCTGCCGTCACTGACGTTCACCCAGAAAACATCAGCCGTTAGTTGTTAGCAGTTAGCACACAGAGCTCACAGCTCCTCATATCTGTTCAGAAACTGGACAAAAGTTAAACAAGTACAAACCACAGACTGTCTGTGTCATGGCGAATACAGTCGCTGGTTTATTTATGTCTGTAGGCCGTTGTTATGAGTGTGGACGGAGCATATACAACGTTAGCTTAGCCTGGTCGATCCGATCTTCATTCAGAAAACAAGCATTTTAAAAGGTTTTTCGCCTGCCGTCTTGTCTGCAGACTTGTCAAGCATTAATTCATGGTTTTTACTAACCGTTATCAGTATGTTGTTACTTCAGCATAATTTAGAAACGTGTATTACAATTGAATCACGGTCAAATATGTTCATTTTGTTGTAGTTGTAGCTCCCGAGCCAGCGCGTCTTGTTTGAATGATGCGAGTAAACACAGCTGACAGCCGCTGTGAAATTCGAGCGTTTAGAGCGATGCGATAGGAGCGATTAGAGCAAAGCGAATATTCGCATGGCGTTCGGTGTGAACGCAGCATTACAAGACTCGCGTCTTGTGCTGCATTCACTTGCACTCGGACATTAGAGATTTTCTCTCACAAATGACCGATGAGCCACAACTTTTCTTTCAAAACAAAGATGCCAACTGGGGTGGCAAAGCTATTTTTTAGGGTGGCAGGTGGCAACTGCCACCCCATGCCACCCCGGTAGATCCGCCCCTGCTTAATTGGAAACATAGTTCAATGGAAACTTGTAAGCAGCCTATTTGGTACATACTCCGGATGTTTAAATGTATCTTTCATATAATCTGGTAAATACAGTACAAGATTTGAAAAAAAGAATGACAAATTACTTTTAACACCCAAGTGTTTGCATTTCACAAAGGATTTGAAATGTGCATAAACAGGCTCTTACTTTTGTTGACTGACAGGTGGAAATACCTTCGCAAATCTGATCTTCCATTATTAATCTCCACAGCACACCAGTAATAACCAGTCTCCTCTTCAGTCAGATCATTTATAGTCACAGTGAAGACTCTTTGTTTTTTGTCATCAGAGATCGAAAACCTTCCTGAACTGCTTGGTTTGTTTGTTTTAATCTCATATGAGCAAGAGGCCCAACTATATCCTTCACACAAGTATTTCACATGGTTTGTGTACTTTGACCAACCCGGTATCACGGCAAGACGTGAACATGTGACGATCTACCATGCTGGGAGACGTGAATATGTCACGGTTTCGTCCCTTCAAACGTGACAGTTACACGGTATTGTTAACATGGCCCAACCAGTGGAGAAATACCCGTAAGTGCCAAGCAAATGGTCTACCGCACCTATTGGTCGGTTTTTATTGTCAAAATGAGATGTTTTTCATTTATTTTTTAATCGTCACACTTGATTTCGCCAATTTTCTTGTTGCCCTAGCTGGTCGACACCTCTTTTAGCAGAAACAAAGGCTACATTAATGTATTAAATCGATGTTAATCCATGTGTGTGGATCATAGACTGGTGTGGATGTGGAATTAACGGACGTGACGTTGTGCGATTGCGTTGCCAACGCAATTTACAAACTCTTCAACTACAACCCTAATTATATTTAAAAACATTTTAGAAGGCCTCACGAAATACTTTAATGTAAATTAAAATGTAAATGTGAAGGGATGTGTGTAATGTGATGATTGACATTATTCACCCACGGATCTATGGGTTGGTGGTATTGTTCCGCACGGACATTTTAGTTAACCGGACTTACTGTTGATGTGAAATCCGAAAAAAAATTAAAAATAAAATAATACTTTATTCCGAGTTTGCTTGCTTTTCTCTTTGGAGGTCATCACATAACGGCATTGTAATACACGGTTCGGCTGCATTAAATATTACATATCTGCCGTAGTTCTGTATTTATAGAGCCCTGATGAGAAGACTTCTGGACAAACAGGAAGCACTGCCGCCAAAACTGAAAACGTGATGTGGATCATAAATATATCAGCAATTAAACAACATCTTACATTTCTTTTCACACAATACGTCTCCTTGCAGTATCAATACTAATTTGGCTGACTTTTATAGTTGATCCAATTGGTAGATAGGCTGTATTTACACCATAACGGTGCACAGCTGATAGAAAGGCACATCTAGTGGTTAAAGCACGTTATTGAATTTGATTATTTGATTATTTTTCACAAAAATGAAACCATCAATAGCAGAAACAGAATTAACTGTCATTAGTAAACCACCCAAAAAAAAGATCATAAGTGGTTTTGTTTTATATATATTTTAAGGATAATAATAGCAATGTAACACTGTCTATGACACTTACTGTATAACACTGATTTGAAAAACATACAGAAAAAACTAATTCACTGCCCTTAATAAAGTATTTAAATATACATTTCAGGTGTGCTGTTTTGTTTAGATCATTGACATCTGGAGCTCTATTAATGTCCTTTTTGATTATTGTTACACCAGGTCTTGTCAAAACCTTTATTCCATATTCAATATCCATTACTAAACAAAACAGCAATTCTACTCCACTACAATTCAGAGGTTAACCTGGTATTTTTACTCCACTAGAGTTATTTTAGTTACTTTGCAGATTCTGATTAATGATGTGAAATATAAACAACCCTTAAATCAGGCTTTAGTTACACGTGAGTAAAATTCAGGGAAAGGTGATTGTCATGTGCCAACAATCAGGAGAGATATTTGATAGTTGCTGCTTGAGAAGACTAAACATTTATCTGCAGATCCCTATAAAGTATATTCATTACTCGTTATTCTCTACTAATAGTTAATTAAAGACTGTATATAATGGCTATTTTGCATATCCCTTTCAAGATTTTCTAAGGTTCATTGACATATCATATACACAACTAATTCAATAACGTGCTTTAACCACTAGGAGGTGCACACAAGGTACACACAGCCAAATAACTGTATTATTAGTGTAGGACACTTGTGTATGTA